GAAAGGAGGTAGGTTAAATCAAGCTTCCGGGTGTGGCGGGCCGCCGAGACTCCGTGAACTCCACGGGCACCAACTTCCACCCATAGCTTACTTGAATACCTTACTATGCAGGTACACGCGGTTGCTTGTCGCTAGACCATTCTGGATCTCAGTAACGCATCCTCTCGCCCCACTGAATGCTGCATACGAAGTCTTCATCGTCCACCAAAATCCATTCGTGATGCAGCTGTACGGCACAGCAGATGCCACGGCGAGACACGTCTCCATTAACAGCACGCTTGCTGTGCCACGAGCACCTACCTTGTCTGAGAAGATAAGCCTCACCACGACACATGCCTGCGAAGCGACTTCCATCACCATCGGCGACTCACCTGTGCCACATGCGAGGTCTGCGATCGACGTTTGCCTTGGCTGGGCTTGCTTGTTACGTAGCAGCTAGGCGCTCTGGAAAGGCCACAGAGCTGACTTGGACCGTGGGAGATCGCACTCTGCACCGGATAATAAGCATAACACAACGCATTGTCTGTCTAGCTCGAGGAGAGGCCGGATTTCGAGTTTGCTCTGGGTGTCTTGCCCCATGTGGTGGTGGGCAATGCGCCTCGAAACCAGCCAACCAACGGTCTGCATGCGCGAACCACTGGCTAGACGCATCTCGGGGATAGCGAAGCAACATGCAGGATAGCAAAGTAATGTGCAGGAAATGGAGCTTGGAGCTGAACTTGCATGAGTAGTCATGTTCAACGATTGAGGCACGGTCAAACTAGACACAACCTCGGATACGAGCAGCAAATGCAAAGACCGAAGGTGCACGAGACGGAACCAGGCACGGCGAGAGGTGTATCTTCACGCGCAGGTTCGCCGACGTTATATAGTCACCCCGCTGCTGAAAGTGGGTGGCTTCTGGTGCAACACATTCGTCGCCCTTAGTCCACGGAGTCATGTCTTTCTCATTTTGGGCGTCGTTGCCTTTGTCTACCTTCGATTGCCTGATCCTCATCACTGGCCTGTGTGCACTCAGTGCGCTGAGCCACAAAGTATGGAGTCTCTACAACATCCAACTCGACCCAATGGAGCCTCCTCTCGTACAGCCTCGCGTTCCGTTCTTTGGACATATCATGGGCCTCATGTGGTATAATCACGAATATCTTGCCATGATATGGTACGTTGCCCTTTACAGATATCTTTCGAAGCTAATTGCCATCCACAGTCAAAGGACAGGCCAGCCGATCTGTACAATACCAATGCTTCATCGTAAAGCGTACGTTCTGGGATCGCCCTCAACGGTACAGGCCGCGTTTAGAAGCAAGGCCATCAGCTTCGCACCTTTCGCTGTGGATTTCGTTAGCCGTATGGACGTCCTGTCGCCAGAAGCCAAGAAGGCATACGCGGAAGGACTGCACGAAGCTGTCATTCAGACCTTCAGTTCCACCATGAGTGGCTCAAGCCTGAGAAGGATGAATGCCGTGGCACTGCAAGAGGTCGCACGGCTGCTGCCAGATCCTTTTGCCGCAAGCGCAGATCGGCTGTCGAATGCATTAGAGGTGCAAGATATCTGGTCATGGCTCAGAAGCGTCATGACCATCTCTACGACCTCGTCTCTCTTTGGAGAACAGAACAATCCGTGGGTGAAAGATCCGTCTCTAGTAGAGACTTATTGGTAGGATTTCGCCTTGGCACTCATCTTCGTCTTTCAGATATCTAACCGTGCTACAGGGGATTCGAGGCCGGCGATATTACTGGACGGGCACCACTGACCGATCTGACCGACCTTCGCTCCCAAAAGGACCACGCCAAATTGGTGGCCGTCCTTCGGGACTACTTTGCTTCTAGGGCAGACGAGGATAGCAATGTTGGGTTGACGACAAGTGCGCTGGCAAAAGTCCAAAGAGAGGCGGGATACACACCGGTTGGATTGGGTGCGACTTATGTTGTCATACTGCACGGAGCGTTGGCCAACATGGTTCCGACAATGTTCTGGACTGTAATGTATGCCTTCACCCAACCGAGGCTCATCGCACGACTCAGAGCAGAGCTGGCCCAGGCAGGCATTGTGATTGAAGCTACCAGACCTGATGGCATGCGGGAGTGTCGCATCCGGGTTGGTGAAATTGAAAAGACATGCCCACTGTTGCTCTCAGCACTTCGGGAAACTCAGCGTCTAGTCTCCATTGGAACGCTCCATCGTCGGGTCCTAGCGGACACAGTCATCTACGATGACGCCAAGGATGGTGAAGCACGTCGCACCTATCTTCTCAAGAAGGGTACAGCCATGTTACTTTCCATCAAATGGAATCACCGAGACCCTGAGATTTGGGGCCCTCACGTTGATGAGTTCGATACAAACAGGTTCTACAGGGACAAATCTCGAACGCAGGACCCAGTCACAGCTCAAGAAGACTGGAGAAATGGGGACGCGGATCTCGGCGGTGATGCGATGCGTCAGCGCAAAAAGGCATATCTACCTTTTGGAGGCGGCAAAGAGCTTTGTCCTGGCCGCAGCTTCGCGACCAGCGAAATTTTGGGCACGATGGTCCTACTCATTCTCGGGTACGACATCACTGGAGCTGATGGACTTGCCCTCAAGTTGCCAGAATACGCGCCGCCCAAGATGACACAGACCACCGCTCGGCCCCACCCGAGTGCAGATCTGAGAGCTCGCGTCCGACGGCGAGAAGGCTGGGAAGACGTTTTCTGGAGCGCCCACGTGGACGCTCCAGATAAGTTAGACCTCGCGACCGCTGAGGCCATAGTCAAGTAATCCAACGTCGATTTTCGACGCTGTTGCTTTCGTGTGCTTGTTGCTGGGCGCAGGGATCCTCGGGTGTTGCCGCTGTGTTGTCCGGGCGTCCCAGCATCTCGTGCCACGCTGCTGCACTCCTCCACTATTCTTTTCTCATTCTTATTTCTCCCACTCTTCAGGCCACACTCAACATGGCTCAACAGAACGCACTAGCTGCTAAGCTTCAAAGCCACCCACTCGGCCGTGTGCTGGTGACCGGCGGTAGTGGAGGGCTGGCCAATCAGATTCTCATGCTCCTCAGCTCCCGCCAAGTCACCTCGCAGCTTCACTCCGTGGACCTACGCGAGCCTGTAGAGCCGGTCAGCAAGGTGCAATATCACTGTGTTGACCTCACTAACGAAGGATCGATGCGGGATCTACTCCGGAAAGTCAAGCCGACCGTGGTAATACACTGTGCAAGCCCTAGATACGACGCCTCGGTTGAGGCCATGCAAAAGGTCAACATCGAAGGAACGAGGGTGTTGGTCGATGCCGCCGAAGAATCAGGCGTGGCGGCTTTTGTCTATACCAGCTCGGCTAGTGTCATCAGCGACGGCAGAACGGACCTCAAAGGTGCAAATGAGACGTATCCCCTGGTGACTGGAGGTAATCAGCCAGAATTTTACGTCAGAACCAAGGTATGCATCTCGACCTAGCCGTACCCACGCTCCTGTGATGAATTCGTGCTGACATTGACATTCAAGGCGCTTGCCGAGACATATGTACTCTCTCGGAACCGACCCGCGGACCATCCAAGCTTCGTCACCTGTGCTCTTCGACCCTCTGGCATATTCGGTGTCGGAGACTCGTGGGTTCTGCCTGGCATACTCGAAGCATACGACCGCGGTCAGACCAAAGTTCAGCTCGGTGACAACAATAATCTCTTCGAATTCACCGAAAACACAAATGTAGCTCACGCACACCATCTCGCGGCTGCTGCGCTACTGCAGCAATCCAGCGCTTCCATGGACCCATCCAAGGAAATGCGAGTAGACGGAGAAGCCTTCTTCATCACCAACGACGAACCTATTCCATTCTGGGACTTCACACGGCTGGCGTGGAAGTATGCCGGCGACAAGACCCAGCCTCAGGAAATTTGGATTATCTCCAGGACTTGGGCGATGGTGATTGCCGGTTTGCTGGAGTGGATCTGTTGGTTGTTGAGACTGGGTGATCCTCCTTTGACGAGACAGAAGGTCAGACTAAGTTGTATGACAAGGTACTACTCTGTGGAGAAGGCGAAGCATAGGCTTGGGTACCGGCCGCTGATCGGGGTGAGGGAAGGATTGCGGAGGGGAATAGAGAATTGTTTGAAGAGGAGTGAGGATGCAGGAAGGAAGAAGTCTATCGGGGATGCTGCTGGCGATTGATGAAAGCAGAAGCAGTGTGCAAATACCTCCTACTGTATTATAGTACGAGCGAAGGTGCTCTCGGATTCGGTAGTGACCTGGTGGATCCTAAACATCGTCAACTTGGCGTTCTCGACTACGAGTGATGAGCGTTGTCGTAAATATCTTTGTTCGAGTCCTCTGCATGCTGTTGCTCACGTTCTACCACGTATAGTAGACCTCGTCCAGATGTCCGTAGGTACAGACGCTCCAGTGTGTATGATCAACGCGTCCTGCAGGACTTCCTCACAGGTGAAAATTCTCAGGCCATAATCCAGGTACTTACATACCTTGCAGCCGTTCTCCGGTCGAAAAGGCTTTGCGATACAGGAAGACTGTTTAACCAATCTTGATGCGCTCGATCTTCAGGTTGCCCTTCTCCACTTCCTCTTTCACTTCCCCCATCATGAAGCCATCCACGTAGCATTTCCCCACGACCCGGTAGGAACCATGTTGCGAGTCGTGGCGAAGAATAAGTGGCTCTGGACATCTGTTGAGAATCGCAACGTAGTCGTTCAAGGTAGTGCTGAACGGTGCATGACCGAGTATCCCTCTGGTCGAGGAAAAGAGTACCCTTCTTCCCTTCAGCATCTGAAGAATATCAAGGTGTTTCCCAAGAATCCTCTGGGGCGACCGAGTCTTGGCCATATTCATACTGAAATAGGTGTGGAACTCGTGCTTTCCAACCTTGAACGACTTGTTGGGCCACAGGTACAGTCCGCACAGGTCATCTTGACGTAGCTGTTGGAGTGGCCATGACACCATGCGCACACGATTGGGAGCTCGAGGAGGCGGGAAGTGCAGGAGGACGAGGTGCCTATACACCGTACAGCGCGTTCATGACCGGTCGTATGCCGGTGCGGCTGAGAAGCATATATCGTTGCCTTACCGGTCGATGTAGTGACAGTCGCCCTCTGTAGGCAGGCTCCCCGTAAACAAGAGTCAGGATTCAGGAGTCGGGAAACAGGAAAAGAACCAATCGGGCAGATATTGCTCCGGGCTGACTTAAGATCGCCCGGATCCCTCGAGATCCGGGTTGCTGCACAATCAGCGACTCGGTGGGTGATCAGCAGCAGCGCACGCCTTCGACTTTGCTGGACTCCGTCCGCTCTTCCAAAGATAACCATTCGACCGCGGGATTAGTATTGACGTGGGTGACCAGTCGAGAATCCCTCGTGCTGTATGTTTTTGCTTCGCGTGAGAGTGTAGAATTTTTCGTCCGGAAACGGGCCGTCCTCGGTCTTGTGTAATGGAAAGCAGGTAGCGAGGTGTCTCGATTGCACCGTTTGCAGGACTCTGATCGTCAATTTTTGGATCTTTGGCTTCTGAGATGTCTCGAAACGAAATGTTGTGAGAAGAGTGGTGTGGATGCATGTGATGTGAGTGAATGGTAAAAGTCTTGGCATCACATGCTTGTCTCCTCCCCACTTTCTTTTACTCCGAAGTTAGATGCTGAGCCAGCTCTTCAAGCTCACACCACCCGCTCTCTGTTCTTGATCGTATTACGCAAGACTCCATCGGACCCTTCGTAATCAGTATCGAGATGATCGTCTCCGCCAACTCCCGTTTCCTTCGTCATCAAGGAGATGATGGAAGACTCGAAGTCAGACCGAATGATGATCCACTTATCCATACCATCTGGTAACTCGTCGTCCGGTAAGTCCTTCAGAGACACGAGTATGCAGGTTTCGTCTTGTGCGGTAAGATCATCCAGAATGACCATGTTGTCTTTGCTGAGGCCGCTGCGTCCGAGGTTCTTTTGTGCCCATTCGATAAGGTCTTCCGTGGACATGTCTTTGAACGGATTGTGCTCTATCCCGTTCCCATCCACCGGTGGCGCGGTGCAATGCTGGTCAACATCTTCAGGCACTCTGGTGGATACCATCAAAAAGCTCATCGGATAGTCGAAACATTTTCTATGGGTTTCTTCATTGGCCTGTTGGAAGAAGTGATTGAGTGTCTACATCACCCTGAGTTAGCTCCAACGCAAGTTGCGACACGATATTGGAGAGGAATTCGCGATAGTGGCGCATACCTCCGCTGAGACTTGCGCATTACAAAAGACTGGGATTCGGGCCTCTGCCATCTTGATGGAAGAGTGTTAGCGGGAAAAGACAAAGCTTTGGTGGAGATGCTGTATATGCGTCTCTTGGGTTCGATGACTTTCTCAGGTACGAGAAAGGCTACTAAAACCAAAGCAACGCGGGTGCGACCTCGAGCTCAGCCCGCCAAGAACATTAAGGTACAGTCACGATGACGAGGGGCACTTATGTGGCTTTTTCCACGAACGTGACAGGGTTGTACAAACCGAGTCCTTCATGCCTTTCGCCCCGGAAATCCTCGTTTTCACTTCGATTTCGAAGTGAAACTTTTTGATCTCGATTCTCCTTGGCCGTATCCCAAAATGCCTGGAATCATCATCGAAGTTTCCGACAAAGCTGAAGGCAGCAAACGAGAGTAGAACCGATTGGGTTAAGCGCTAACAGAGTGTAACATGATGGCTGGCACCGGACGCTGTTAATGATGAAGACAGGTGGACGCACCATCTTACACATGAGGAGGTAGAGGATATCGACAATGGCCTTCGCCACACTCTACAAGCCGCCCAGGCGGGCTGCGAAGCAATGACCAAAGAGACTTTGCCATCCGTCCAGATTTGGCAAACACCTTGAGGCTGCTCCTCGACAAGGTGGAGAACGAAATGGCAATGTTCGTCGTCCGCGGCGCCCGAACGAATGTACAACAAGTTCGAGATGCGAATGATCTTCTGAGTCTTCGGTCTTCACCCGGGGATGGCTGCCTCGCAGAGTGGCACAGGCAATATGCTCGGAGATGTGGATTCGACCAGCTGGAAAGATGTTTCATTCCAGGGCCACGGGCCTCACTACCGCCTGACAATATTCGTGGAAGGTCTTCGTGGAAGGAGACGAATTCTGTTCCCGTTTCGTGAGGGCACATATCGAGGCAGAAGGAAGCGATAAAACTCGTGGACGACATTGCGAATGACCAAGTTCCGTTTCGCCGTGTACTTCCAGTCTGGGGATATGCAATATTTGAACAGCCATGTTTGGTAAAAACGAATGTCGTGAAAATATCTATATCTGCCGGATGGTCGTCGATGTAGTGATAGCATCATTTGAGAAAGACGGAGCTCGGTCAATCATTTGCCCGAAGATCCGTGCACCCTGAGTGAACAACAAATCTCACCACTCCACGCGTTCTTCTTCTATAACATCCATTGCCCTTGAAATCAACGCAGCAATCCGCCATCTCATGACATACTCTGGCGAACATCGACAACGCATTCGTGAACACCAACTATCTTTGGCTGCGATATGGCTTCTAATCATGGACACAACATGAAGCTGAAAACATGGCGAACGCATCAGCGACTGGTTGTCCTCCATCGGCTCTTGTAAGAGACACGTGATCAGCCTCGGCGAGGAATTTGCATTAGGCGATATGCGCTGTTCTTGATTTGGAGCTTCGTTGTGCTACAAGACAGGGCAGATGGAGCTCTACCCTCCACTCGTTGTGGGGGCGGAATGCAGCTCGGAGAGAGACGTACTGCCCTATTTTTGACTTAGCCGTATGTCACGTACAAGCTGTTGAGGACGTCAAAAGGGCCCGTATCCTGCGTGGGCAAAGCGATTTCGAGACCGCCAAACCACCAGTACCCCAAGCATGACACACGATTTCACTCCGCCATGCGATGATGCGGACCAACCCGATGCAGCGACAGTTTTACAGCGAGAGTTGGAGGAGCAGATTACCCTGGTCTCGACAAGCTCTCAGACATGGACTGATCTTTCGACCGAGATCATGAGCGAAGATCCGAAGGACGAGGCCCGTGGTAAGCCCAATTCTCACGGCCTCGATAGCCAAGAAACTCTTTTGGCCAGTTCTGTTGAGTCGAAGACCAAACAAGAGTCCTGGATCGACCTCCTATGGAATAAGGCTGGCAACAATGGCCCACATGCTATCAGCGATACTTGGAAGCCCTCCTTCGTGAGGACGGGTCCCCTTCTTGGCTTGATTGCCCTTTCGTTCATCGTTCTCAGCATTCCGGCGTCTGCGATCGTGCTAGCTGTATCTCACGGACAAGCTGTCGAGAACTGGATAGTCCAACCAAGTGTCTACATTTCGGTACTCATTGGAATCGGGAACAAGGCGCTAGGGTTTGCCGCTGTACAGGGTGCCATCATCACCTGGTGGGTGCGGGCACTTAAGGGCACAACGCTGCAGCAGCTTCACTATGACTGGCCTGCAGGAAATGCTGGCATCACGAGCCTTAGGAGAAAGCACGTCTCGCGGCTCTCGGTCACTTCAGTCTGCGCCTTTGTCATTTTGGCCGACGGCATACTGCTTCAAAGTGCTACTGGTACCGTGGAAGCCCGCCTAGACAAGCCTGTATCGTTGCGAGCCAGAGTGTCTCCCGAGATACCGACCAATTACACTGCTACTGGATCGCTCCTCGGAGTCAATAATACATACCTCAATGCAGAGATCTCATCACAAATCAAGCCCGTTTGGGATGATTGGATCAACGGACGAGCAATACCATCGCCTTTGTCCGGCTGCCAAGGTGTATGTACAGCTACAATCACAGCTGCAGCGGTTGCCCAAGTCGAGTGTCACGATGAGCCAAATCAAACCATGAACTACACAGCGATCAGGACATCGAACAGAACAAGCCTTCCTTTTAGCTGCCAAAGGCAAGGCACGCAAAATCGCTGTGCACTCTTCGAGATTCATGTCCAGCCATCGTCAAAATCCGGTGTCTTCGAGACCATCGACGTGAGCTTTGGCAGATTTGTGGTCTCCTCGAGTGAGATGGCCCAGGACTGCGCGGGTGACTACACATACAAGACTTGCTCTTTCAGGTCTGCTGTTGCAGAGTACAACGTGACGACGTATAACGATACCTACGTTGTTCTCAACTCGCCTCTGCCCAATGTCATCGGTCTGGCCAATAACACTGCTCGCGAGACATACAGTCTCAACCAAGTCATCGGCGCTACGATCGGTGGTGTCGGCCTGCTCGCCTCCATGGACGTATATACCTACATCACTATGTGGTCGCCCGGCGAGAAATACCAGTACACCGATAACGTCGACACGTTTCAAGCCAAGCTGATGGACAATGCATTCCGTTTCTATGCTGGCGACGACTGCGCTCCGTCTTGGAACAATCCCATGTCTGATATCACAGCGACTCTGAATGACGTGATGTTTCGGACTGCGGTCCATGCTGCATCAGAGCTACCTGAAGCCGAGCTGCTGGATCTGATCGACCCTGGGCTCGAGGTAGATCAAGAAGTTCAAGGTCTCCGAGTTGACGCCCAACCGATTTTCAAGACCCGTTGGCCATTTTTCTGGGCTGCTGCAAGTGTACAGCTTGTGTGCGTGCTTTTGGTTCTCGTCACGTACTGGGACTACTGGAAGCTTGGCCGCAGCGTGAGCTTGAGTCCTCTCGAGATCGCCAAAGCTTTTGACGCTCCTTTGCTGCGCGATTTGCCCTCCAACACCGAGCCAAGCGTACTTGCAAAGGCCATTGGGAATGAGGAGACCAAATATGGTGCTGTTCAAGGAGCTGTCAATAGCGGGATTTTAGAGTCGCCATCTTACAGGCTGGTTTTTGCTTCCCCGAATCTGATCAAGCCTCCGGGGGGACGTATTCTTGCTTGAGATTTTTAAAGGGCTGCTGAAAGTATCAGTTGGCACATGCACTTCCGTCCGCTTTAGGACGGATGACAGTGACGACCGAATGAGAAAACATCATGATTCTTGTGCAAGATTTCCGATCTGACTTGTGTACGAAAGCTAGATAATGACTGGCTGTAAGGTTGATTCTAGTAGGGCCGCGTGGAAGCGAAGACTATCTCCTCATCTAGAAGCAAATATCGCTAACCTGGTCACCGCCTTGACCAGAGTTGAATGGATTCTGGGTGAATTGCTGTCCTTGACGCTGGCAAGCAGCCGCGAAGCCGCTTTGCTCCAAACCGCGCTGGTTCTGATCGAAGCAAGTCGACAACTGCTGGTCGAACTGCGGGTCGGAGAAAGGGCCGTTGAGATCCTGGCAGGCCTATTGTCTACGGTTTGGTCCGTCGCGGTCCTCACGTTGTCCAAACGGCTGTCCGTAAAATGGCTGGTCCTCGGAGGGCTGGTCCTCGAAGGGCTGGTCGTCGAAGGGTTGATTGTCAAAGGGCTGGCCGCCTACACCGCGCTGATTGCCAAATGCGGATCCGCCGGAACCTGCATCGAGGACGAGAAGTTAAATTGGATCGCAAAGGCGGCGGAAGCTCTTCGATGTCATACCTCCTTCGCCACTCGAGCTTCCAAAGCCCGACGGAAAGCCAAACGTGCCGCCGTGGGTACCGTCTTGAGATCGGAAGGGACCAGCCCTTGTGATGCCAGTGCCTCCAGCTCCTAATAGAATGATGGTTAGAAGGCCTTCACTCCCCGCATCATATCCGCGATTCGGACCACCTACCTCCTGGGGCTCCAAAACCTCCAGGACCGCCTAAGATGGAAGATGTTAGCACACTGCCTCTCTGGCATCAAGCGGCTCATGCTGTCTGACCATTTCCGCCGATGGCAATAGTAGGTCCGAACTTTTGCGATGCATCATTTTCCTTGTCTGACTGCTGAGAGATCGCGCTCGATTCGGCGTCCGAGCCTGGACCAACCGGGATCGCAAGGGCGTTTGCGGCCGCGAAGAGAGCAAAAGCGGGAACGATGTATTGCATCGTGTCGAGAGAAGCTTGAAATTTGAAGTTCTGGGATTAAGTCGTGCTGAAGAGCTGTGGTTACCCAAGGTAGCGGATAGTGTTGGATTGGCGGATACTGCAAGTCTGCTGATGAAAAACTGCTGCAGTGGTGTCAAAGGGGAATACCTTATACATCTGTCGCTTGGCTCTGACGGGCGTCGCAGTTTCACAGCTCGAGGATATCCATCACGTCGACCGGAGTATGCGGCTTGGGTCTGATTCAGCTCCGAGGGAATCACCATGTGATAAGATGCCACCTTGGTCTGGGAAACGAAAGTTTTCAGCGATGGTGCGCCAGAACTCCTGGATCTGAGGCTTCGTTCCAAGCCGAGATGCCCCTTGATTATCGTAATGAAGCAGTATTGCCTTCCCTGAGACTACGCCCTTCACCTATGATCCAGTAGCCAGCGCGAGGCACATCTTGGACCTTGCAAGAGTTCTCTGCTCGCGTTATGGACGCAACAGCGGCAACAACACTCGCTTCTAGTCCTCTCTGAACATTCCTCATCGCCATCAAGAACTCTGAACTATGCCCCCACTCCATGCATGAACTGCTGTCCGGTTTCAACTGCTATGAAGCAGGTGTGGGACAGCTCAGAATTGCTGCTCATAATCAAGCGAGCTGGGATTACCCACACGACCACGGTAGGGCATCAGGGCCAGCGACTCGTCGTAGACGAAACCAATGTAACTCGCGAACCCTCGTTCAATACCTGCTCGCGGCGAGTATGCGATGATATCCAAACGGCCTCTTGCCGGCGCAAGAGCAGCCATGATTCGATCTTTACGTTGATTGACAGGCTGCGTCTTCTTGCGCCAAGGGTTTCGCTGGTGGAATATGTGTTACGACGTAACAACACCAAGAGCATCTGGATCACGAATGGGCGCAAGTTCTTTGTGAGTGCTGAACCTGCTCTACCAGTCTGCAACATGTCCGTGCAAAGGCCAAACGGAACAGTCGCAAGCGTTCCTCTCATTTGCTCCCGAGTCTTGATCATATTCCTCCGACGCACGCATTCTCACACTTCAGGAGCAGCGACGCACCGGAACGGATACTATCCGGTTCCTTCGTCAGGTGAAGTGCAAGTGAAGCTGAGTTTCGAAGCCGGCTTTACTAGGCACTCCCAGTAAGGCGACCCTACCGCGACCCAATGACGAACGATTGATGAGGGCCAGAAACTCAGCGGCTGCGCATCTTCTCCACATGGCATGCATGTCGTCTAGACTGCTGCTAGTCAGGACAATAAGCTCAGTCTGCAGATGCCTCCGAAACCGAACAGACCCCTATCACGTTTCACAACTCACAGCGCTCGTTTGTCGTATATGAGGCTTGACAATTGGCTCATCTGACGGCAATACTACTGCGTACGACGACAGCACGACTTGGACGCCCAGACGCCAGCAACAACGGACGCTGTTGGGTTTCAAAGAAATGCATCTCATTGACATGTCGGCGGCTTCTCGGAGCATGAAGATTCACGATTGACCTGTCGACCCACTCACCTGCAACAGACCTCGAAGAGAGTTCTATAATAACCTGGCTTAGTATTGCTTGAACCGCGTCATCATATATCACACCAAACGATACACTCGCGTCCACGACTCGCGGATCTCGAAGGCTTATCGGCGTTGAAATAGAGGGCTACCCGGCAAGCATACGCGCAACATCTTGGCAGGATCTTGTCTATCACGGCAGTAACTTGTCTCTTTGAAAGCTACCACATATCTGATCGGAGTTCGTGCTCAATCACGCACTACGTTCAGATGTAGCAATATACATTCGATCGACTCCGGGAATAGTTACACCTCTCACATCCTTTACGAAGCGCCGCCGGACCACTTGTAACGTGAAACTCTTGTCGTCGCAAAGGGCTATTCTCTCTATTAAGGGACTGTATAGAAGTCGTCTGTTCACCCTTGGCTATCTCCTCCAATACCCATATAGCTATCATGCAAAACTGTATTCTATCCTGTATTGCTCTCTTCTCTGCAGCGGTAGCGGCCAGCTCCTACACAGGCTACCAATGCGACTTTCCCAGTCTTGACAATTGTAAGCTTAAAGGCGATTTTGGTTGCCTTCAAAACGCGAACATCCACCAGCTTGCAGGCGCGAACTGCGTTATGGAGACCGATTCGTGCCAAGATGCCTGCGGCCCTGTCACTTACGCTTATCAAAAGGCTGGGTAAGTACTAAGTGTATATACGGCTAGGCTTGAACTAGACATTTATGATTTTGTCCACAGAAGTACAGCTAAGACTTGCATCTGTACCGTGGACGACGCTTCCAAGGCCAGGGGATCATAAATCGACCTGTTGGAGGATATTGCTAGGGGGAGATGCGGTAGAGAAGGATCAAGAGTTGCGCTAGTTGTTCTTCTTCCACCTGCATTCTCTTCCGACCAAAAGCAACGTACACTAGAAGACTACGACGGCTCCTCCTGTCTGATCCAGAGTCATGATGGATCTGGATCTTCCCGAAATTATCAAGTTGCTCCAGGAGTTTCGTGTGGATGTGCATCCACAGGGAACTCTTACTTCGGGTTCTCGGCCAAGTTCTTTGGCACTGACCAAGCTGTTCCAGCCTCGGATGTGCTCGTTGCTTGGAGAAGTGGTCTACAGTAGTAGCTGTGGGACTACCTGATCTTCACTCACAAGCCACGTCGAAGTTGCAGTCGTGGCCCAACATGAACGTTTTGGTACAGCCCTGCTGAACATGTCTAGTCAACGCTCTTCGTTCACATTTCATCTCACCTTGTTGAACGAACCTTCGAGCCGCCCAAAAGGTATCCACCTCCGCATGCGTATACGTGCGACACTGAGACGCTGAGGACATAGCAAATCGCCGAAATGGGGATGTGGTATTTGATTTGTGCCGATCAGGTTGAAAACACTTACGTCTAAGTTGCGAGCGAGGATTCACGCAGCAAGAGCTCTTATGCCACTATCACGACTGCCCAGGTGCATTTACCGCGGTTTTGGCTTCTTGCGCGCTGTTGTGGGGCTGAAAGGAACAATGTCACCTGAAGCTATCCTTCTAAATCCTGCCGGGACATACTGCCGCTCCAGACTGATATTCCCAGATGCCTTTACAGGCACTAAGAGGACATTCTGGCGAACTTTATGCACCCGAAAGCAGAATGCCACCTCACGTTTCGGCAACAAATCATTACTTCCGAGCGAATTCCAGAAGTCGTCTCGAAAGAAATCTTGCAGGAACGTCAACGGCACGCGCCAGGCCATATCCAGTGGCCTCTGCTTCTTCGGCTGTTCTGCAACCAGAATGTCTGCTTCCTTTGAACCCAAATAGCCTTGGACTTGTAATTGATAGGGAAATTCCCAGAGCACGACAGCTCCCGTGAGAGCGCTATCATGGTCATGATCCCGATACAGGCCGGCTTCAGGGTCTTCCTCGGGATATACTCGGGTGAGTATGCCGCCGAAAAGGAAGTTCTCCATTTCGAAGCCAATCTCATTGGTCTCACGTCGATCTCCGAAGAACGCATCATATTGGGGGTCACAGTCGACAAAGCAGCTGCAAGCATGCGCCATCTCGTGCAGAAGCATAACCGCAAACTCGAACGTTAAAGCGATCCGTCGCGGAGTGTCCTCGGAACCCACCGCACGTAAGAGATCATTGAAGGTGTTGCGACTGATGCGGATCACGGACTTGAGTCCTCTCGGGTACTTTTTGCTCCTGGTATTCGAATTTTTGATATCATTTGTTAAAGCGCCTTCGTCAACGTTCCATGTGATCTGGTAGTGGCTGTGTTCGCACATCCTTCGCAGGAGATCTTTCACTCTCCTAATCTCCGGGCAAGGTACCTTCCGATCGGAATCGATGTCTTCTTTTCTATATCGTCTTGCTCGTATCTTCTTGTGGATCAATTCAGCCGGCTGAGCCTTTGCAAAGAAAATAATATGGAAAAAGTTATCGAGGCTTCCACTTTCGAGAAACTTACTTGCTAATCGCGCCGATTGCTCTATGGCGCGGTATTCGTCCGTTGAAAGACCTTCAAATTGGCCTTCCCGGAAGAATGGGTGGATTTCGTTTGTCAGTTTGAGATCAGCTTGTAGATTGGTAATCTCTCGGCTCATAAATTTTGCGTTCCTCTTGAAGTCGTCAAAATCGAGGTCCAGGCCAGCGTCCTGCGCTTTGCGTTTAGTCATACTTACTTATTGTACAATGGAAATTGATATCGGGCCGCGAAAGGGAAAACGAAAGGAAGAGACGTAGGAAAGCGAGCTACTGAGAAGCGGATGGGCTTTTGACAGAAGAACCAGAAAACGTAATACAAAAGAAATTCTATTTTCGGGGACAGTAATATCCCGTTCGGACATAGCAGGTTCTGTGGCTCGTGCCGCTCTGCTATAGGTGCTTTCTTTGTTGTATGGGATAAAGAAGACAGTGTGAGGATAACACCACAATGGATGTTCCCGGTCGCGTCGTCGAAGCCTTTGTTGTAGGATGCGTCATTATCCTCTCATGCGACAAATGCTACGTTGTCCGACCTCTCAACGTCAGCGAATTGTCAAATTCAATACCATCCACGATATGGAGAGCTCAACACACATCTCGACGAGGATGATTGAGCCTACTCTCCTCCCCTTCTCCATGGATGAGGTCAAAAGAGATCCATTAGCTGCGCGATTGGCTGCCCTCGACAAGAAGATGGCCACATTCCAACAGAGTCTGGTGACGTACGATAAGAACCTGGCCAGCATCGATCGTTGTTTTGTGGAGATTCGAAGCGAGATAGAAGTCGTCCAAGAAGGCATCGCACAACTGGGAAAGCCCACGCAACCGAGCTCGCTACCTCTGAAGGCGCCTCTTACAGTGCACACAGATGGATGAGACGAGATGTTCACTGTTAATCCCGGTGGGCTTCCTTTCTGTACCTTGAGATCGGCCGGATGGTCCTCCGTCATTCATTTGCACATGTCGCAGTTGCAATTATGTGTTTTACAGCCAGGATCAGTCTTCTCAGAGCCAAGGGAGCGTTTTCGCCACGTTCAACAACAGAATTCGAAGTTCGCTAGGTCCTTGATTTTCATTGTTGCGACACTCTGGCGAGTGCTCCATCAGCGGGTTGAGTATGTAGAGTGCAAACAGAAGCGAGGTTGAGAAAGGCTTCCATGTGAACGGCCCGGAGTACTTATTGTGGTATAGCCTTTGCCCTAGGCAGCTCCCGTGCGCTAGCAAGGGTTTTAGTGTGCCGGCCAAAACAGGAGCAGATGCAGACGAAACACTTCACATTCCAGCGACAATCCACCATATTCAGTCAAGTCTGTGCATCCGAGGAAGAAGGCAAACGCTTTCCGATGAGAAGCGCGCGAGATACGGCCGAGTTGGAGGCTGTGCGATGCATTTGCGTAGCGAACCGAGCTGTGCGCCACGCAGTTTGCTACCCCTGTCGATGGCCCCAGTGTGACTCCAGATATGGAAACACCCTCACACGCTGCGGCTGAAGCTGCTCCGCTCGCGTACACTGATAAGTCAGTGAGCATTGAAGCCAGTTTCATATATGATAGCATATGCTTCTAAGGCTTTGGAGAGCCATCTGCGCCTTCCAAACCGCAACCTCACGAATCAAGATGGATACACCTCAGCCTCTCCAAGCAAATGGCCACAAACGGCCTCATTCCGCCGGCCACGGAAAGACGTACAAGAAGCGACGTCACGAATACCAACAGATGCGCGTCAACTTGGAGAAGACCGTGGATGGACGATACCGGAATGACCGCAGTGACTACGATCGCGTGGGCGCTCTGCTACTCTGCTGGCAAGACGATGATCTGGAGGCTTGGACTCGGGAGGTGGTTCGTCTTGGTAGCATTTTCAAAGAGCAATACAGCTATGACGTCCATCAATTTCGCATCCCTTCAGACAGAGCAGTCACGGCCACTCACAAGCGCGTCGCTGATTTTGCGCACCAATATGACGGCCCGAACAACCTCATGATTCTGTATTACGGTGGTCATGGATTCAAGGAAGACAATCGTCTCAAGTTGTACGCCAAAATGGAAGGGAATGGTGACGGTGATCCCTCAACATTTTTCGACGGCGTTGTCTGGTCCCTTCAGCATTGCAACACAGACGTCTTGGTTGTCACCGACTGCTGCCATGCTGCTCTTGCCTTTTCTCGCGTGGAGGTTGGAAAACGCAAATTCGAGCTGTTGACGGCTACTGGGCCCACACAGTTCGCTTACACGCCAACGAGTCCCATGTCGTTCTCTGCCAAGCTATGCGACACTCTAGAAGATCTTGCGGCAAAAAGAACGAGTTTTACTACCTCAAAGTTGTATCGAGAGCTCTATTTCAAGACAAACGAAGAAGTCAAACCATTCCTCTTCGATCAGAGCCAGAATGACTGGGGAAGAGTATCTTTGAGACCCACGAAATTTCAGGGAGAGCCGATTGAGCCCGATGATCCGTCAGTCTCAGGCCCCGAGAATGCAGAGCTGTGCTTGCATATGGAGCTGCGGCTGAGTTCACAGCCGAAACTCAATATGAATATGTTGATGATGAACGATTTGGCACGAGCAATGCAATATCTTCCCCACGTGAACGAGATCAAATTCAAGCACATGCATGCCCCAGCTGAGGACTTGAAGCAATTCATGCGGGGCGTGAACCAGGCGATGAGAATCCGACCCTTGTTGAGGCGACTACGAAAGCGCATCGAAGCCAGGAAGGAAAGGGAGAGGCAGCAACAGGAAAGCCTGCAGGTTGATGAGCCTCCACATGATCAGCTGCCGACGGATTTGCATCCAAAAACTTCGTTGCTGTACAGTTGGAACGAATCACAGTTGGATATGGAAAGCGCCGGTACTCCACAAACCGAAAGAGACCTCCCCATGGAGCCAGCATGAGCTACGGATTGCATTATCACGTGGATCTTCGATACAGCGTATTCAGTTCTCATCCTCAGCTCTCAGCGAGTGAGCGAAGTAGCAATGAGCAGACCCAGCCAGCAATTAGAGCGACCCTTGACGTGTTGTGTGGCGGAAGCGGGGCTTATCATTGTAAATTGGGACCTGATGCCCGCGAGGGGCCGAGTTTAGCAATGCCGGCTCTAGCTTGTATACTTGCATGAAGTCCATGCGGCCTCTCGTTGTGAACCGACCGGTGAGCAGAGGCCGTCCTCCTGCTGATAAATACTCGACCCTCTGACAATCCTGTAGAATAAAGAGCACAAGGCAGACGGCCAAACATACCCAAGTGTCTTGGAAAGAGCATCGCTATACTACACAAGACTTTCCTACGATATCGAAACACGTCGACAGATCTCGTGTCATGTCATCATCGGTACATAATCCCTCCAGCTGTCATACGCAAGCAGACTGAACATCACAGGCTGAAGGTAGTCATCCTTCAGAGGATCCGAGCACTGAGCAAGCTGTCGACCTCGGATCGTCCGACGAAAACGATCAAGATGGACAGTCGTATCCACAGTGGCGATCCAAAGAAAGCAAGGGAAAGAACCCTGCCAAGGTTCGTCACCCTTTCGCGAAGCCATGGCGACTTCGAGCTGATCAGTTCCCAGCCCAAGAATGCAAGTACATTTCAGAAAGGCAAAGAAGTCTATGTCTATCAGGGTAGAGCCTTGCTGGGGCCCTACAAGATCACGCATGTGTACTCTGATGGAACTTATGATCTGGGCAATGGACCGGGCGGCGCTTCGAAGACGAGGGTAGAGCAGGAAGACTTGAAGGCGGCATAGCGGAAGTCGTGCAAGTGGCAGTGTGTACGCGGCTAGAAGCGCTCGTGCCTCAGTCCGCAGGCTTCAAATGGCGGCCTCTTTCGTTGGTCGCACCACTGGGGCGCAGAAACAACAGTTATTGACGCTGAGATGCGCTTCAGCCGCACGTTGTCCCACCACACCTGGCTGAGGACCCCTCCTTTACGCTTACTCGGCTACGAATTGCAAGGGTAGTAACAAGCTGGCCTCACGCGATCCCCGATCTTACGAATTGTGTGTCCGATCAGAGATATTGGAAATGGAATGGATCGGATTAAGCTTGTGAGGCGTAGTAACTGATATAACTCCGCCCTTGGTCTCTTCCAAGCGGCTTCAATCCAGTTCCATTCGATTCTAGCTCTTTCTAGTCGGCCTGCATCAGTCCTACAATAGCAGCAATGGCTAATTCTGCCGAGAATATAATCACAGAATCACCGACATCGCCTACGAGCTTTTCCGGGGGTACGCTCACCGAGACAGACGAGAAGGCTGGAAGCGATCATGGGAAGCCGTCGGACGTGTCTATTCCATCAGTCTCTATCGATCTAGAGAGCCAGGATGAAAAGCCACGACCAGGTTTGCTCAAAAGACTGAGCGCCGGCCTCCCAGTTCAGGTCCCTCCCCATTGGAAGCCAGGATTCATCAATGACAATCGGGATACTCGGTCACTCCAAGATTTTCCGGAAGGTTTCCCTCGTTTCGCTGCCTGGATGAACTGCGATGAAAACTTCCTCTTGACGAGACGCTATGGCTGGTTGCATACCCGGGTAATGCTTTTCAGACAATCCGAGCTGCGAGATCTCGAATTGAAATTGCAGCGTAGCGACAAGCAAGATTTAGACGACGAAGATGATGCGTTGATCGATCATCAGTTATTTGGTAGTGGTGAAGCAGGAGAGGAGAGGAAGATGTTGATCCAACAGATCGACGACAAGTTGAAAGAGTATGGTGAGTATTGCAGCAACTTCTGACCGTAACCAATTATAACGAATGACAGACGACATCGTAATGAGGGCCAAAGCCATGGCCTCGTTGCCCAAAGCTAGTCTAAGGAATTACGCTTCCGTCTGCAACCATATCTACAACAAGGCACCTTTCACAGAACGAGAGAAGAAAGTCTTCATGAACGATTCAGACTTCGTAGCTCTGATCGAGCAAGAAGAAACCAAGTCCTTTGATGGATTCATCGAAGATATCCTGAGCATGCTGCCTTGCCGCGGGCTCACTAGAGTCGGTTTCCGGAAAATCCTCGTTGATAAGGAGGGAACCGCTGACAGAGACGTAGTTCGTTTTCTCCAATGCACAACAGAGGGCCACCTCGAATGACAAGGAACTTTTCCTCTACGACAAGAAGCGGATAGATACCTTTATCCGGATTGTCATGACCCTCTTGGCGGTGGCGTTACTACTTGCTCCCGTCGTGGTTCTCTTTCGAGAGCAAGACAGCGGGACTGTCAAGATTGTCGTCATCCTGGTCTTTACGCTGTTCTTCAGCTTGGCTTTGAGCCTTGCCACGAGAGCGAGACGAGCGGAGGTCTTTGCTGCTACTGCTGCGTGAGTCTCACCAACTCCTACATCCTCCAAGCTGGACTTGGCAAGTCGAGTCTTGTTTTCGGTAGTTTCTACGGGGTTGATTAGATATGGGAAGCGCGCAAGTGCTGGTAATCTTGTACATTTGTGGCTGTTGGAGGGGACGAAATATACTCTACGTCTGAAGTTACGCTCTATTCGGTCACATGTCACGACCCGTCGCTAATTTCGTCTACGTAGGTACTGCGCTGTGCTTGTGGTGTTTCTGGGCAACTTCATACCCCAGTCCGCGGCCGCAATTAGTTGAAATATCGTTCGAGGGCATGTTTCCAGCTTATGCCTCTCAGGCGATCGGGCGGCGACAGAATCGAAGTTTCAACGCGTGGATTCGCCGAGCTTTCTTGCCATGAAGCTTCACGACATTCGACCCAGCGTACAGTACTCGAGAAACACCATAATCTTTTGAGCCACAAGAATTGAGCAAGAACCTGGTCAGGTCCGTTCAAACCGGGCAGTCGTTGGCTGAGTCCCTGTCTGCTGTGTGCGTGTAGCTGAAAGTGAAGAAACTCTGCTATGGTAGCAAGGACCATTCAAGACATAGACCATTTTCAGCGCCCAAACTTCCTTATAGAATGCTTGGCCGATGTACCTCCACAGCGAATGCGTACGTCCAAGGAACTGCGAAGCGTTGATCGCCGAGACCATTGATGGATTCTGATGCATTTCGCCGGCGGATCTACACATGAGTGTGATGTCCTCATTAGAGCCGGTGGCATCCATTCAACTATCCGCAAGATCCTGCCAGCGGATAACGATCCAGCAACGCTTCCCCGAAATATTTTTTGGTCTATCTTCACCATCCATCCATGCGAGAAAGCCAGTATAAGCATTGACACTGCACCGGTGAGCCTCGAAGATGCTAGAGACTGTGGGTAGGTAGACGAGGGCGGCTCCACGATGAGTGACATACTCAGCAACGGTCAACAGGTTCAGCAGACCGTCACCGACATGGATCAGGACGCGGTGAGATTCGCTCAAGCAACCAGTGGTCAGTTAGAAGACCGCTTTGTCGGTAAGGGCTGGCTCCCTTGCATGGAGGAGGCAGTCACTGAGCTGCTGTGCGTCGAGCCGGAACGAGGTGCAGTGTATTTGTGGGATCATCCGCACGCTCGCACCTATATCGAACGGCCAGTGTGTGTTCTTGTGATGCAGCGCATGCCACCACTCCTTTTCCGGCTTCCTGAGGCGGTGTGTTGATTGAAGATGGTATCATCGTCTCTGCACTACTTGGTAAAGGAAGATCGCCTGCCGAGGCACAGACAGCGCTCAAGGTGTATGATGAGGTACCACGGCCAAGAACACAGAAGATTGTCGACTCGAGCTGGGTGACTGGGCAAATGTTGATGGGGATTTACGAGGAGACCGGTCTCGATCCTAATGAAACCCATGGAAGCACTGCGTCCCCAGTTGAATTTCATCCTGGATCTTGATCTCAAGCAGCACCGCGACGACGCTGTTCACTCGATGGAACTGCAGCTTTAGTGGAGCTCAGATATCGCTGAAGATATCTTGCCCTATTCCAGGCTTGAGATTGATGTGGTAGAGCTGACGATGTCGGTGCCAGGTGCCGAATTCTCGTTATGAAGGCCGTTGTGGAGATTACCGCATCCGTGGTGGTTGGGCGAGAATGAAAGGACAGAAAGACTCTCGCAATGGAGAATCCTCTATCCACGTCATACAGCGTTTGCTTTTGTCCATATAGTGCTGTGCTTTTCTAAAAATGCCTGCCCTTCAACGTCCTCAAAGAAACGCGGGTCAGCTTCAAGTATCACGAAATGCTTCTCCCACACCCATCCCAGCTCGCCTTTAGAGTCGTCTTCTTGATTTCGAGCAAGCCAGAGCTCTCCTACCCGTGCAAGCACATCAAAAATGTCCCCGGCCGCGTATGTGAGATAAGGATAGCCGGCTTCGAGGCGGCTCACATTCAGGTCAAAGGCGTAAAGACTGGCACAGATAAAGAGCACTTCTGTAGATTCATTTTGTTTCGTGCGAGTGCTTGGCCCGGTCGAAGACTGCGAAGTTCCAGCTGTGGTTTCGTGAACAGTAGACTCTGCATCGAAGAGTCTTTGCGCGTAACTTTTGTATGTCATGACATCCCATTCGCTCTTCGGAAACGGGCTGTCAGGTCTCGCTCTTGGAGCCACAGGTTCCGACTTTGCTTTCCCTCTTCCTCGATCGAAATCTCGTTCCATTCGTTGTATTACGACATCCATTGAGGGAGGTGGCAAAGCTTTGCCACCCTGATCCAATAGCACGGGCCGAACAGGAGATTCGTTGGAAGGCAGATCACGCAAGACCGGCGGGTCCGCTGGATAGAACGCTCGGTCGAGCTCATCGGCCAATGAGTCGTCTTCCAGTGTGTCCTTTCGGGCACGTATCGTAGCATCGTCATCCTCCGAATCGTAGTCGGCATGCTCTGGAATTATCTGCAAGTCTTTCTGCTTATACCATTTTCCGTCCTCGTCCACCTCCGACACCTGGATTGGTAACGCAATCACAGAAATGATAGAGATATTGGACAGGCTCAAATCGGATAGAGAGTAGCTCCGCATAATGGAGCTGTCGAAATCAAATATCTCGGATCCGCGCCTATTGCGTCGATAGACTCGTGAGAGCTCAAGTATCTTTTCGAACTCGCGAGGGGTCCAGCTCACGCGGGCCTGATCCTCCAGAGCAGGCCGCTCATCCGATCGCTCCCCCAACTGCGACTTGACTTCCGTGGCAACGATCGTGGACCGTCGTGCGCGGCTCTGAATTTCGTGTTCCATTCTGTCCATTCTGGACTTCAGCTCGGCGTTCTCCGCCAAGACAGCTCGGATGCGCTCGTCGAGGCTTTGACTGATGCGTCGTGCCTGGGCGGTATCGGGAGTATCCAAGATCTCTAGCTGCATGCTCCATGTCTTATTCTGGTCCCTGAGCCTCTGGACCATTCGTGGTAGGCATTTGATGGCTGCTTCGTAGTCGTCCTCCGAGATTGTAGGATCTGTGAAGACAAGGTCGTGCAGGTCTTTCTGCATGTCTCGGAACAATATGACGGCGCTTGTGAATGAAGTTACAAGGTGATCGGCATGCGTTAGAGCTGCCCGTTCCTGCGCAAAATTCAATTGGTCCATACTGCGTTGGAGCCCAGCTAAAAGAGTGAGAGTTCTTTCTAGTTCGTCGAACAGATCGGTTGCTGGACAGGGTGGAAATATATTTGGATACACGATGGCTTTAAGCGCTGAGTGAAAGACCGTAGCCTGGCCGGAGAGACCAGTAAGCGATGCAGTGATTCCCATGCGTTCATTTAGATCGATCTCCAGTGTTCGCTCGCGATGTAGTACGAATGTGAAGTCTTGCGGTATCAGCGATGACCAGACCCGCGATTGACAACGACTCACGATTGATAACATTGCCGGTATGAATCCTTCCTTGTCCCGTAGCCGTGATAGGTCCATATGCGTTGCCTGATAAACGCTGTATTTGAGAGGCCATTGCTCTCTCACCTATCGCTCATTGAAGCAGTGGAAGGCACTCCGTGACAGGCATGAACAACATGTGGAATAAGAAGTCCTCTGGCGTTGAAGTGTTCAGCTCGGAGAAGTGGCGTGAAGTTAAAAAAAGGCCGAGCAGGATCGAATGAATGCCAAGGATCCGAGAGAAGAGGGCTTGAAGCCAGACCCGACCTGCAGCTGGAGGCTTGCTGCGCTTGTCCAATTAGGGAACGGTGGCGCCAGTACGGCATCTGGCTTCATGAGACAGACTGTAAGATTTCTGATCTTATCGGCAAGAAATGTTTGTTGGGATCAAGGTCCCTCTTTTCCAGAATGTGGCAGAAAGTAGTGCCGGCTCAAAACAAGAGATTTGCTTCCAGAGGCTGCCAAAGGGATGCCTGTCTCAGTGGCCAGAAAGAGCTGGATCAGCCACTCTGTACAGAGGATCCATGCTGCTCATATCCTTGATCTTGGAAGTCTAGCATCATTCGCCGTACTCGTGGATAACCATGCCAGAGTAGAACCAAGAGCAGCCGCCCAAAGTCAGTTTCTTTGGCATCCCGATCGAAATCCGTCTGGAGATATATGCCTTCGCGTACTACAGCGATTCTCAAATTCAAGGAAACCGTTCCCTCGCGGGATCCAGGGCTTCCAGGTAGTACTTCCTCGAATGAAGCGGTCTCGGAACAGTCCGTCGACAAATCCACGCGGAGCTGAGGGATAATGAATTGTCCCTTCTTACACCGCACAACACGTTTCTCTTCCCCGCTGTCACAGGTTGGTCAGGAGGAGGATGGGGACGCTTCGAGAACAAGGACAATTATGGCATGGCAACCTCAAACCAACTTCTCACCCACGCCCCGCCTGCAGTCGCCGCCTCGTTACGACACGTCGAGCTCAGCGTGAAGATAATTCCACAACCAAGGGGGTGTGACTGAGTAAGATCCGATGTTTCCACGTGTGATAGAGGATCTTCTTTCGCCCCAGCTCGACAATCCAGATAGCATGCTAGAGTGGCCCCATGCGCCTCCGCCTCGAGACTTCCAGCAACTAATCGGAGCGGCGAGATGTTCCAAACAATGACTTTCAAGTTTCACAATTTCGATTATGAGCACTGGGTAAGTGGCTCATGGATCGATTTCCCCGTGGCGTTCCGAGCGAAGTTCTATACCTGGCTCGAAATGCGCGTTGCCGAAGGCTTGCCGACAGGCCTACCAGATGCACTGAATTGCATTGTCAAGGGCAAGATCGGGTGTTTATAGCATCATTACCCGAGACGCATGACGGTGCTCACAATCGCCTATGGTCTGAACGATAGCGACCGAGAGGCCCGGGTCCGTGAAGTAAAGCAGGATTCAGAACTTGAGGTGAGTCCCATGCGAAGCCAGAAGGTCATTGATAGTATCTTGGATGCCACGTCCGAGCGTATAGGGGTGGCGGAGACCCGCACGGACGATTTTGAAGACGTGAGTTGGTGGTCATGAATGAATCCAAGTCATTCAGTTGAGACGTTCGACAGCGCGAAACGTCTTCTGAAAGCCCCATGACTTGCTGTTGCCATAAGAGGCCTTGTACAACGTGCTGAACTTTCTCATTTCCATCAAATATGTACAAATGAACACAGGATGTCTCGCTGCTTGTCCCCGCTTCTCCCAGAACGCCGGTATGCTCAAACCACAGCATATGTCTCCCAATCACGACGCTCCTCTTACTTCCTGTACCACATCCTCGTGATCTTTGTGTGTCTCATCTTCTTCTGCAGCTGGAAAATGCCGTACATAAGCGCCTCGCTTGTAGGTGGGCACCCAGGGACATAGATATCGACCGGTACAATTCTGTCACATCCTCTTGTTACAGAGTAGCTGTAATGGTAGTATCCACCTCCGTTCGCGCAGCTGCCCATGGAGATGACCCATCTCGGGTCGGGCATCTGATCGTAAACTTGTCGAAGGGCCGGTGCCATTTTGTTTGTGAGAGTGCCAGCGACAATCATTACGTCGGACTGGCGGGGAGAGGCACGGAAAATGATTCCGAGACGATCTTGGTCGTATCGTGGGGTAGAAAGGTGCATCATCTCGACGGCACAGCAGGCGAGACCGAAGGTCATCGGCCAAAGGGAGCCTTGGCGAGCCCAGTTCGTGATCACGTCCAGCGTGGTGCTGGTCCTCAATGTCAGCATCCATGGCCACGCGCTTCTCGCCGAAGTGTGTATCTTACAGTGCATATTGAACCATGCTCTTGTTTCCTTCCTGGCTGGCAAGTGGAACATCGGTCTGGTCCTTAATGCTCTTCATGGGCGGCGGAGTGCCGGGGTTGCCCTTCACGTTCGATGGTCCCACTGCTCGTACTGATGATTCCTGCGCGGGCTTCTTCGAGGAGGAGGAGATGAAAGCGGCATTGGCGACTCGTAGCGGCTGCAGCGCGGTAACGGGTTTGGCTGTAGGTATTCCTGTCAGTTTTCTCGCCTCTTTCGCGCGGGTCGTTTCACTGCTATGCATACCGCGCAAGGCCAATGCCCTCGTTTGTCGCATAGTGGCGAACATTGCGGCGGATATGAGGAAGTAGAAGTTGTGAGAAGGAAGAGAGGAGAGTTGACTACGAGTATCGTGATGTACAACGCACTGTGAACGTAGTGGCAACGAGTTATGAGGTCGACGATGTGAATCTGAGCTAAACCTAAATCAGCGGCTTCGGAAGTGCGCTGATTGGCGAAACAGGCGGAGCTCATCCCTGTGGCCCTAATTCGCTGAACCGACTTCACCCTTCACATCAGCAAATACCAACATCCTCTACATGTACTTGAGGCTGACATTTCGCATACAATTCTCCTGACACTGAAACATGGTCGACAGATCTCCTTCTATCGCTGCAATCGGCGTCATCGGCCGCCATGTACGTTCACAAAGCCGTACCTCAATGTTTCGGAATCTAACGTCTGCATTAGAACAATCCACTTCACATCCAACTCTTCCCAGCAACTCATACCGATGCACGAGAGCAACCTAGGAACAGACTTGAATATGAGCTTCTCCTCAACTCAAGCCTAGATATCTTCGAAGCCCGGATGCCGTCAAAGACCGTCGGCCATGACTTCGGACTCCTGCACGCTGTGGATGAACGACTAGCCCTTTACGGCTGGCTACTGAACACAGGCATAAAACTGGTGATTGTTGTCGACATGGAAGGTCGGACTGCGCCAAACGAACAGGCAGCGAAGACGAGCATACTCGGCTTGAGAGCGAGTGATCTGACGCCAGTAAGCACTTTCCCGTCCCCAAACGGTCAAATAAGACCACTGTTGCTGAAACGCGAGATTCAGGCTTTCCAAGCACTTCAAACTGCCTACATACACCTTTTGAGGAATCCTTTCTATGTCCCGGACGACCATAACCCTCTAGCGGGCAGGCCAAGGGGAAATCGAGAGATAACAAGTGCCCGATTCCTTAAGGATGTCGAAAGGATTGGCAAAAGATGGTATCCAGGTGCTATCAACCTTTGAAACTCGACAGAAAATGTTGTGGTCGATCAGCACGACTTAACGACCCAACTACGGCGCACTCTGCAGCGCGAGCCTTGTGTAAGGAAGCCTGCTGTGCTCATTTGCGCCGAGCTTATGGTTCCATGGCCCATTCGTATGCTCCACGACAACAATAGGATAACCAGTCGTGGCTTGCAATTCAGCACCGCCTCCCGTAATCTTGGCGAAGCACCGATACTCATCTTCAGATGGCCCATGACCACTATTTTGCAATTCATGGGAATTGTTAAACATCAATTCCGCTTGGAAGACGCACTGACGGCGATCTGCAAGAGGCTATCATATCCGCGGTTTCCCTGAGATCTCCCTTGGAATAGGGAAATGGACCTGTAGGCGACTCCAGAAACACTTCTGGTCCATTTGTTCCTTCGAGCAGGCATTGCATGTCTCCAAAGTCAAATTAGAGATACTACAAGCATGCTAGATCCTGGAAGAGGCTACATTCTACTGTACTCAAAGCTTGCAATACGTTTTGCTCAGTCTTTGGTTGAAGACGAGCCGTTGAGAAACTCAATGCGACGTTCTCGATCGGATAAGACTTGTACTTCTCCAGGCAGGTCACGATGCTTTCCAGATCGTCTCTTTCCATATCGAATCGAATTTCGAACCTGGCATCAATGAGGCGATATACCTCTCATCGAATTTCTTTCTGGAACTTCTTGCACATGAGGAGAACCCTAGCCGTGGGGTGCTCAAGGATACTGCCGTGCTGAACCTTATCCAACCACTTCAGTTTTCGCGCATCGAAGATCAGATTATGCAAGTACCTTGCACCCCATTCACTAGTCGCGCCATCAAGAACTTCTTCGTGTCTCTCTAAATGATGGACATGATTACCATCCGAGCCATGGTCTTGGCTTTTCGATTGAGGCTTTAGGAGGCCTTGGGCCACGCGCGATAGACGAGGAGCCTTCACGTCGACTTGTCTTTGGTTCACTCTGTGGCATAAGATCGCTACCTGACTTTCCTTGCGGAGAGTCGTCTTGGGCTCGATAGGCTCGCCCAACAAAAGGGCGGATTGGTGGTGCACTTGGCTATGTCGCATGTGGACTCGCGTGATGAGTCTTGCAAATTTCTCCGGTCTTTGGTGCAAGTCGGGAGCTCAGATAGCTCCTCTCATGCTGCACTGCGGTCAAGAGTATTCTTCTATACATATCAGAAGCTCTCAGATGTCCTCTCAGGATATCATACATTTCTCTCGCCCCACTTCTCGTCAAGGAACGAACGCCGCGCCACCGAGAGCCGTCTGTCCAGCCTTCGCAGCAGGAATTGCCGAGCTGACTTCTTGCAGCTCTTCCTGCAGAGGGTCTTCTATTTCTGCTACAGCAGCTTCGTCCTCCGTGCCTGAGTATGCACTTCCCTGTAGCGCTTTCACGCGAACGACTTCCGCTTCTGCCCATTCTCGCCAGTTCTCGTATTGCTTGTCTTCGAGTTCCATTCCAACCTCCAACGGCCCTTTACCAAAGTATGCACCAACAGCAAGTGCTTCTTCCCTCGCAACACGAGCTTCGACCTCTTTGGCGTGCCGTTGACGATACAGTTCCTTTCTCGCTTTGTCGTATGCGGCTGCGGGGGTGAGAGAGGTGTGGTTGAGGAGGTACTGTTGTCTCAGCACAACGCTGTAGAGACTAGTCAGTCTCCACCAGGACATTGCCGCGAAATGATCATTGACTCACGATTCTCCATTGATCGGTCTCGCAGACTGAGTCTTCATATTTGCATCCCACTCGGCAGTTTCGGGATCTCCAACAGGCGGTCTCCGCAGGGTGTAGTCGAGCGGTAAGCTCCAATCCCACTTTTCATGATCTCGCCCATCATCTTCCAGTACCACCCTTGGCCGCGCCAGTTCCCAGGGATGGTCGTTGAAGTAGTCCCATCGTAGTGCGTCTTCCTCGAACCTGAGGCTCAGTGGTTGGAAGAGGCGACTCTTCTTCCGCGCAGGTTTCGCTCCGGGCTTCTGTGCTCTTTGCATGGGCTGTCGAACAAGCCGTGTACTGGGTGGTACATCCTGTATTATCTTATACCATGGTGGAGCAGCGGGTAGTCGGTTTGCATGGAGGAGTTGGGTCGCGTGCTTGTGGACGTTTTGGGGGGCGAAGTTGTAGCGGCCCATTGCGGAGGCGTGGAATTCGTGATGCGGTCGGAGATGGTTGTTATCTGGTCATTGTATCCTTGTTCAATAGCCAATGTAGAGCGATCGGCAGTGCTTTGCGGATGTGCAGTGGATGGACGAGGTTCACCCCCGAGAGGCCGCGGGAGAGAGGTGCCAAGAGACATTGAGCCTCTGACTTCTGCGACTTTTGGACGTCCCTCTCACGCGACACCAAGATTCGAGACTCAGGACGACAAACTCGATCGTTTGACAACACTTTTTCCTTTTCAGCCAGAAATGCCAGTTGGAGGCTGATGGAGTCGCTCTCACCATGCGGTCCGCTTCATGTCCCGAATCGCTCTCATCCTCAAGCCGCATTCGCAAACCCTCGTCGCGCCCTCGAAGACGGCATCGCGATTCATGTCATGCGCCCATCGACAGCCCGATGCGAGATCAGAAGCACATGTTTGGGGACAGTACCATCGCGATAGCGCGGAGAGGAGGCATCGCGCGCCGGCGAAAAGCGAGGCACAGAGCGTGCAGGATGTCTTCATACGCGCTTTGGTAGTAGCCAGCTCCTGTTCGCGTCGCCGGGGGAGCGAATCTCGCCCATTCAAGTGTCATCGGAACGCCTCATCGATACATCGTCCACACCGTGCGGGTGTCTCGAATACCCAGCGCCGCTCGCTCAGCTCCCAAATACCGAGGAGGCAGACTGCAGTTGCCATACCTGATCCGCCAGAGCCGAGTATATCGAGGGAGGAGTACAAAGAGCTGATTGACACCTACTCGGAAGACGAGCACAAATGGCCACCAAAGTCTGGTACAAGCGAGCCTGCAGGCGTGAAGATAGAAGAAGTCAAACCAAAGCATTACAAGCTGGCCCCTCGTCTGGTCGTCACGCCGGAGCAAGAAGCGCCTCTGTCACACTCAGATCGGGAAGTCTTTCCGCCAGAAGATGAGGACCATGCGGCGCAGCTGAAGTATTTCGCGAAACTCCTCAGAAAGCCTATGGGCTCCGTCAAGCATTCCACATTATGGGACGTCTACGAAAAACTTCCATCACCCCGGACACGATATGTCACAGACCAAAGATACAGAATCTTCTTCCGCCACTTGGCCTGGCGCGAGTTCAGAGCGTCCAGGGAAGCAATGGAGCGATATTTTGCACTTCTGAACGAGTGTACGAATGCAGGTGTGAATATAGACAACGGAGCTTGGAGCGGTGCCATGGCGTATGCGGGAAGATGCGTGCGCGTTGTAACAAGTAAGGAGGTAAAGGCAGCTATCGAGACATGGATGCGGATGGAGGATGCAGGCCATCGCGCGAATGCCTTTACATTCCACATCCTACTAGAGGTAGCCATCAGAGCAGGCCGATATGCACTCGCGGATACTATTCTCATGGAACTCAAGGCACGCAAAATACCGCTCAACAGGTATTTTAGGAACACTGTCATCTTTTATGCTGGGAGGCGGCGGGACGGCGATGCCGTTCGACGGGCTTTTCAAGAACTCGTCGACGCAGGGGAAATCGTCGACACCATTGCAATGAACATTGTCATCTCGGCGCTTCTTCGCGCTGGAGAGCTGCCAGCGGCAGAAAATACATTCCTACGCATGAAGACGCTCCACGAAGAAAAGTTTGGCAACCTTCCCCCTCAGGACTGGCGCGAAAGGAAATCACTCGGAAAACTCCTCAGCAGAGAGGGGGAGACCTTGCGAGAGCAGGAACGACAACACCAAGCTTCATTTTTTGGCGCACCATTTTCAATGGAGGATAAGAAGGACGAAATCCAAAAAGTCACGCCGATCGCTCCAGACTCTGAGACCTACCGGACGCTGATCAAGCATCACTGCGACACCACTGGTGATTTCAAGAGGGTTCGTGAGCTTCTGGAGGAGTCAAAGAGAAAAGGACATAACATCCACGGAAGCGTCTACATTCACATTCTCCGCGGATTCGCCTTGTACGGTGGCTATGCATCTTCTTCTTGGCACCACCAGAGCTTGGAACAAATCTGGAGCGAAATGTTGGAGGCATGCCGTCCTTTTGGGGCGGGGGAAACGGAAAGGATCCCACCGCCAAAGCAAGAGGACGATGACATCCCTGATTTGCTCGGCACTATGATATCCGACAAGGCTAGGGAATTCCACGAGAGTGCACATGACGAGATGATGGTAGAAGAGGAGTCTGAGTTGGAGCGACCTTTGTACTTTACGCGGACCATGGCGTTTGCCACAATTCACGCCTTCTATAGATGCATGGGACCGACGCGTACGCTAGAGGTATGGAGGCAGATCCTTGCGAAGTGGACAGATGCCACTGATGATGATAAAGTTCGGGTGCAGAGGGTTGTTGATAAGATGACTGCCGGGGGCGGCATGTACCTATGATATAGACTGTACAGACAGACGTCACGAAGACGTTTTAAACGGCAGCCTGCTTCGCACGGCACAAACTTCCTCTTGCATACTCAATCGGCGGGTCTGTATTGTCAGGCTGGCTGTAAGCTTCGCCCTTGATGAACTATCCCGGAGAGGTGGTTCACTCCGCGTCACATGTCAGCACGTGACGTTGGGCAGCTGGCTGGCGCTGCCGTTATTGGCGCTTGACCTTCTGGTTTCAAATTTTCATGTGGCGTCGGCCCTACAACAAAACACCAATAAATTTTGCTGTCGATGCAGCATCGCAGTCTGCCTCATCAACTCTCAAGGACAACCGCGCTCTGACACATGCGCATCAACATACCCACGAGATGGCGCAACCCTCCTCATCAAGCGACTCGGGCAAATGCAAACTGCTCGAGCTACCCGCCGAGCTCAGAAACGACATCTACCGCCTAGTGCTCGTCCCAGAAGACGATGCAGCCGTGGATATCGACGCAAACGGATACGACAGACCCGGACTCCTCTCGACCTGCAAGCAAATCTACTATGAGGCACGCAAAATCTTCTACGCCGAGAACAAGTTCATGTTTCTGGTGGCAGGCTTTGATGCAACGGTACTATATCGCTGGGGAAAGATTGGGAGCTGTCGGAAGTTTGGGAAAGTGGCAGGACTAGGCCGACTGAACGTCACTATGAGATGGGGGGGATCTGATGCAATGGCTGAAATAGTATCATGCTGGTGAAGGTGATGGGTGTACCGGCCCCACGGGCAATACGGTCTTCCTGTGAAGTTTTGCGATTGGCGGCTATCATGTTTGCCACTACAAAGAAGCTGGCCGGGCAGGACTGGGAGCATGGTGAAGGGGGATTCTGGAAGATTTCAGGCCGAGTTTGATCAGGGCGAACAAGGACTTGGAGAAGGACTGAGGTATCTGCTTTTCAGCGAGGACCTGGCACGGTGGGGCTTCTTTGCCGCATTCTGATCCAGGTGAGGTGCGAGCGAGCTTGCGAAGTCAAGAGCGAAAATTAGGAATCGAGGGGTGTGCCTCGATCGAACACATGGTAGAATGTGGATGGGAAGACGGCGGTGCGTCTCTGCCACGTTTCAGCTCTACGATTTAACGTACTTGCTTTTAAAGGCAGAGAGCGATATCCAAAACCTTGCGCTTCCCTTGCGCACTATGTGCTTTCCCCTCTCTCTTCCCTTCTTTTGCACATTCACTCGTCCGTTCAACCATCCGCACTCTGGGCACTCTCACTCAATCGTTCGACGATCCGCATTCTGGTCACTCATGTCGATATACAAGACACAGAGAAAGGAAAAGTCGTCGAACACTAGCCTTCTTCCAACTCTCGCCGGTTTCCATCTCGGCCGGAACACGCGAAGGAAATAAGCTCCCAAGCTTTGACCATTTCGGCAGATCCTCGGCACTAGCATGTGAAAAGGGTCCGAGCTTTAGCTTGCAAACGTCCCTCTTCCCATTCTCATCAAGGTGGACCCGTTTCACGATCTGATGAGAAAATCTCGTCGCCGCAGAGACTTTCTCCCTATTCCCACACACAGCCAGCCAAATCCAGACCAGCCTCACAGGATTATGAAAGAGGAGGAAATCACAATTGAAAAACACCAGCCAGAGAGAAAGAGCTGGACCCACTCCCAACCCAGAATCTCAAACTCTCCCATACCATCTTCTCAATAAAAACCACCCAAAGTACAACACGAGAAATACGGCTGCATTTACCACCGGTAGCCGACTGAACAAAGTATCCACTGCCCACTGCCTAGAGCTAGCTCCCTGCCGAAATCGAGGAACAGAGAATCTATCTATCTACCGACTCGTCCTGGTGTCACACATTTTGCCATTCCAAGTCGACATTACTGCTTATTATTATTATTATTATTACCATAGATCACGCCTCCTCTCTCTCTCTCTCTCTCTCTCCCTCCCTCCCTCCCTCCCTCCCTCCCTCTCTCTCTCCATGTAAGCCAAACCTCCAACGATATAGCAGGTATAGTAAGATTTCCATCCCCAACAATTCCACCTACCTACCTACCCTAGTCAATCCGAAACCTAGACCAGCCAACGCGAAAAATATATACCACGACCCATCCATATATCCCTGCGGCTCCGCGGCCTCTCCTCTCCACTCTTCAAAAGAAAAAAAACCCCCCACAAACCCACCAAAACCACAAAAATCTCGAATTTCCGTCGAACCGCGGAGATGGCTAATTCCCTTAGCCCTGGATTCAAGCTGAGCTTGCTCTCGAACCTCGTGCAGCTGGCTGGCTGGCTGGGGTGGTTGCATAGCGGTCAGATCAGAAAGTCTGATGAATTTTAGGTCGCTATCAGGGGTCTGCCGTTATTGCGAACGTGGACGAGACAAACTTTGTTCCACATTCGCTAGTCCAGAGCGGGCGGTGGACACGGAGCGCGGGGATGCAGTGCAGTGCAGTGCAGTGCAGTGCAGTGTAGTATACAGTTGGCAGTATATCCATAAGCTTAGATGGATTCACGGGAAGAAGGCGCTTGCAGTTTTCAGACGGTGACGATTGAGTGCACTATGCACTTACTTACTTGGCATAATTATACGAGGAGTAAGGTAGCATCTGCATTGGAAGTCACGGAAGCGGAAAGAAGATCGAGGTAAGAGATATTCATCGAATCCACGAACAGAAGCGCAAGCAATTCGGCGACACACAGCTAAAAAGGAGAGCGTACGTAGTACATAACCTCACACATCTCCCATCCACTCCCCAACTAAGCCCATCTGCACAGCATCAATCATCACACCTCACACTCCCTCCCCCCCCCCCCTCCTTCCCTCCTTCCCTCTCAAACCTCCACTTCCCATCCCTCACCCCAGCAACCTCCCTCGCAATCCCCAACAGCACCTTCGTCCCCTCCCACCCGACACCGCCTGACGAGAAAAACCCTAAACCCCGCAAGGCAACCCTCCAATCCTCATGCGCCGCCCCGCCCTGACCTTCTTAAAATACAAAACCTCCAACCACTCTAGCAGATTCGGCCAGAACGGCGTCCCGAAAGGGGAAACGGAACCCAACCGCAGCCCGACGTGGAGTTCCCTGCGGAGGGGGGGGGGCGATGCCTGTGTCCAGGCGGCGAGGTAGGCCGAGGCGTCGAAGTCTCGGGCACGGGGAAGCGGTTGTGGTTTGCCGGAGTAGTAGATTTTGAGAGGGCTTCGTGGCGGATCTGCCGGCAGACGCGGAGGAGGGCGGGTTCGGGTTGGTGCGGGCATGAGGATATCGTGCTCTGCGACTAGGGGCATATTCGTAGATCGAATTTCTCAATTCCGCGGGCAGTGCGAGAATCGGAGGCTCGGTGTTGTGGGCCATCTTCAGGAGGTCAGACGCCCTTTTTTCGGATCTCGGGGAAAAAAAAAAAGGTTTCCGTTTGCTGATGGGATGCTCGTTGTGGCTCTAGAGCGATGTGTGCTGAGACAGTAGAGATGAGAATGACTTTCCGTTTGCAACAAGCGTTGAAGTTTGCTGTCTGGCTGTGCCTTTATACCTGCTGTCGTCGTCGCGTCGCGTAGCGCACGGATCACTAGTTCGCGCTGCCATGTGACCGCCTGATCGAGGCGACTTGTGTAACGAAAAGTCCGAGAGGCCAGTAGTCCAGGTCAGAGTGGCAGCAGCTCATCCCTCCAAAATCCACACCTTCACCTCACCATCGTCACCCGTGCTGACAATCACCTCTTCATCGTCCGACCGCTTGCCCTTGTCCGCTCTCGGTGCCCAGACAACATGGTTGACCTCGAACACATCGTGAGCATTCTCGACCTCTGCGATGAGCACCCACTCCGTCAGACTCTTCGCTCCCGTACTGCAACCGTGGGTCTCTCCATCAGCCGGCGGAGGCGCATCACTCATCTCCACCTCCTTTCCGCGCCATCGTTCCTCGTAAACCAAAATCTTCCCATCGCTGCCAGCACTCACCACCCTCCCCGATTTCCGACTCCAAGAAATCGCATAGACCGGCCGATCGTGTAGAAGCGGCAACCGCGCCTCCTCGAACCATTCTTCCTGAAATTCGGAATTCTTCCAGATACTCGGCATCCGTCCCTGTCCCGTCGGCATATCACTCTTAGCTTTCGGCCTCCGTCTCCAGACCCGGATACTCCGATCATCCGAACAAGTCATCAACCTCGCACCACTCTGGGCCTTCTCAGCCACCCACTCCGCCGACGCACCGGCCACAAAACTCCCTTCTTCCCGCTCCCCTTCGAATTCCACCCACCAGACCGTCCCCTCATGCCCCTGCAGCAGAGCACAGCACCCCCAATCATCCACATCCTCGCGCCAGAGCCGCACGCAATCGTCATAACTCCCACTGGCCAACAGCGCCTCCCGCGGATGCCACGCGACGCATTTCACATCCCCATCGTGGTCCTGCAGGACCGCCATCGTTTCGAAATTATCCCCGTCGAGTTCCTCCCAGATCCACACGCTCTTGTCGCGCGAACACGTCGCGAGCAAGGGAGCCGTGGGGCAGAATGCCAATGATTTGATCTCGGAATCGTGTCCGTCTAGTATCACCTCTAATCTCCATTCTTCCTCTTCCTCTCCTCCAGATTCTCCGCCCGCTAACCCCCTCCCCGTAAAATCCCTCTCCCTCTCCCCCCCACCTCCTCCTCCTCCTCCTTCAAAACCTCCATCCTCATCCCTCCTCCAAATCCCCGCACTAGCATCAAAACTCCCCGTCGCAAGCACACTCTCCCTCGACCCGCTATTCCTACTCCCCGTATCTTTCCAACAACAACTGCGAATACTCCGCTTATGCCCCCCTTCGATGCTCCGCCCCTGTTGTGCGAAATCTGTCAGGCTGTAGATGCGCACCGTCTTGTCGGCGCACGCCGTCGCGAGGATGGGCAGGTGGGGGTGCGGCGTGCTCATCCAGGTGCGGGCGTTGCAGGGGGGGCTGAGGGTCGCGAGGGGCGTGAGGGTGGAGGAGGAGGGCGGCGGTGGCATCTTGGGCGGCGGCGGAAAGGGTAGTAGGGTAGGGAGCGTTGGTGGTGGATTGCGTGAAGGGAGGGGGAGGGAGGCGTGGTGGGGGAAAAGTTCAGTGTTGGGGAACTTTTGTGAGGTGGGACGGGATGTCGTCAGTCGAATCAAAGCTTCATGCCGAAGAGCCGGGGTTCTACCGTCTGAGCCGCACATGCAAAGAGAATAGGTAAGCTGACTACCAGAGCAGAACAACTCAGAAAAAGATATATGACCTTGACATATTTCGAAAAGCATGTATATTCCCTTAGACCAACCTTACTGGGTATCAAGAACCAACTGCACTCTCTCAAGAAGAAAGAGCTCACGCTATTAGACACACCAAAAACCCATTCTGCAGAAAGCCATCCCAAGCCCAGTCCAAATATTCCCTGCACTTTCCCGAAGTACCTGATGCAGCCCTCAATGCCCCGGACCTGAACACCATCGCTAAAAGAACAAATCCCAGAAAAGAAAATCCCATTCTAGCCAGCCAGAAAAACCCCCCCAAGCCCCACAGAAGTAGTACATATGTACAATGAGGACCGGTAATGGTGTGGGAAATCAAAACAAAAAGGAGAACATGCCGTGTTGATGGTCTTGTGTCTTGCAGTTTCTCAAGCCATACAGGGCTGTAGGATGTCGTCTTTGGCGGTTGGAGATGTCTCGGAGAGTCTGCATTCTGCAGAGAAGTATGTCATGAATCCTGATGGATGCAATGCAGATTTGGCAGCTTCCCCGAGGAAACGTATAGAGCCTCTCGTGGGGAGGTCTACTTCGCATTTGGTGATTGGTCTTGAAATGCGAATGGCTGTGGTGATCTTCTTCACGCATGTTGCCGCTGTCGAGAGCCAATTTATTCTTCGTTCTTCTGCTCATGTGTTCCAGGTGCAGACTCATCTTCGGATGGTGGCGATGCGGCTGGCGTTGGTAGTGAGCTCTGGACGTCGGTGACTGTGACGCTGATTGGCAGCCACTTGCGTCCGGGGGCATACACGGCTTGAGCCACCGGGATCGTCGGAGAATTGGTCTGAGAATGAAGGATCGTGCTATCGCTGCCATGCTCCGAGGCGCCGTCCTCTTCTTTCTCGGGAGTCTCCACCAGATAGACGAGGTCGGCCCAGACATCCCAGTGCAAAGCGATGATGTGCGTGAATCGTCGGATGAGGTCCTCGTCGGGATCGATCGGTGTCGCTCCCGACGTGGTGAGTGTCGGCTCGCACACGGCCCCGAACCCCATCGAGGAGTGTTTGGGCAGGGCAGGCGGTACCAGCGCGTCTTGAAGATGCAGTGCCGACAGTCGCACGTGTTCTCTGACACGGTCTTGAACCTTGGGAACAAGCTCGTCCACCAGGAAGCGCGCGTTTTCCCGAAAAGCGGCGCAATCCTGACGGAGGTAGTTCACAAGCTTCTGCTCGGCGAGCATGACCAGACTGCTGTCGAAGGGCAGATGGCGGTCCTCCGCAACGAGCAGGACGCGCACAATTTCGGCAGCAATGTTCTCAATGCGATCGACAAATCTGCCCTGAGTACCCACAATCGCAGCAATAGAGCTCTGCAACGCATCGCTCGCCCTGATCAAGTCCGATTCGCTCAATCGGCCATCGGACATCTCCCAGAGCACGTCTCGACAGATTGCGAGGTAGGTCCTGCTGTGCAGTTCCAACCTCAACGCTCGAAGTCGATCGGAGTCGAGGTAGAATGTCTGTGGGCAAGATGAGGAAGTCGGGTTGTAGACGAGATCCCCGATCAGTCCACGAGTCAGAGCGAGGAGAGGCGTCGGTTCGTAGCCATGCGGCTGGACTTTGTCATCGAGCCACAGTTTCGCATCCGTCGCATTGATCTTGCCGACGGCGATCCGATGGGCATTGTATCGACGCTGAAAGTTGATCGTGTCCTCGATCAGTAGTGGCCGCATATGCCGGATTTGGTGATTGGCGACATCCAGCTTCATGTGTTCCAGGATGGTCATCAGCTGACGCAGACCGCTCACCAACTTCTTACAATCATTCTCCACCGCGCCGTTCTCGATCGACTGGCGCATGGTGTCGACCAGCTGATCACGCATGGGAGCGCAATGATTCTTCAAGATCCTCGCCAGCCAGTTTCCGAGGCTGACGAGATCCAGAACACCGTTGTGGATCTGCTGCATCAGGTGGTCCACCTCCAATCGCTCTTGGACTGCCTTTTGATCGTAGTCGGGCACCAACGTCTTGAGGATGTCGCGGATTGCGGCAAAGATTTTGGGCAATCGCACGAGGGACGCCTTCCCGACCCGGCTCCAGTAAGCATCGTTTGCGAGTGACTGTGCCCTCCGTTGCAGGGCGAGGTTGTGGATCACAAACTCGGCCTCGAGGGCTTTCCAGTACCGGTCAGCCTGCGCAATCTTCTGCTTGCCCTTGGATCCGTCCAGATTCGGCCTGAAATGGAGCTCTCGATCGAAGTTGACGTCGTGTCTCAGCTTGGGGTTGTTTATGATCCGTGGCATGTCCAACTCGGCCAACGATTCGGGCGTGATCGGGGGCTTGTCGTCGGCGAATTGGAAGCACCAGGAGTATTCGCCGACTGCCTCCATCTCCTCGCCGATGAAGAGGATGACGTCTCTTCGAATCTCGTCTTCCGTCATGTTTTCCGAGCAAGTGCTGCTGAGCATTGGTGAGGGTGCCGGGGTGTAGGGTGGTGTCGGACCCGACGAGGTGTCGTATTCCATTGTGTGGGCATCGCCGTCTTCCCGTGACGAAGCAGTCATGCTCCTCTTGCCTGCCGTCCGAGTGGCATCTGCGCCGCTGGCCGTGCCGGGCACTGCCGAGTTCCTGCGCGCGAGGACGGAGTCTGGTGACGAGTATCCCACGGCTTCGGCCTCTTTGCACTTGTGATTGTGTTGGGGAGACTGCTGGTGGTCCATGATGGTCGTGTCGCTGCTCGGTCGCTGCAGAAGTCGTCTCGGGCTGCAGCGAAGTGCACTCCTTTTGTCCTCTCCGGTGCCAAACAGTATTACGTGGGCAAGTGTGTATTACGGTGGTATCGAAGGTGAAAGGAAACGCATGCTCCAGGTGGATGTCTCAGACAATAATCGTACAGGAGGGACAGAGGCCGATGGAAGGCGGGAGGCGGTAGGCAAGTCTCTCGGTGCACTCGAGCGCGGTGTCTGGGGAGGTTGCAAGTCAGCGTGGGGCAGCGAATGCAGGACGAATGGATGGACGGGTAGTTGCTGCTACGACAGCTGCGGTAAGACGTGAAAGCAAGTCGGCGGTTGCTTGCTGGGTGCGGTGCGGTGGGGAGTGGTGTGTATGTGGTATGTGGCTTACCCAGAAGAAGTGCAGTGAGTTGGACGGTGGGGCGATGTCTTTCGGAGGTTGCAGATGGTCGCAAGCGTCTTTGAGGTGGTGGATGAAAGCGGAGGGGAATGGAGAGTGGAGGGAGGGAAGCAAGCGGCGAGGCGAGGTGTGGTGTGGTGTGGTTTGGCAGAGAGGGCAATAACAAAGGGAAAAGGGTTGCTGCAAGGACCGACGGGTGTGACCTTGTGGGCGAGAAGGGTCGCAAAGAGCAAAGAGCCACGAGCCGCGAGCCAAGAGCAATGATGAGACAAGAGCCAAGAGCAACGAGCCACGAGCCACGAGCAGAGGAGAGCAGAGCAGAGCAGAGCAGAGCAGAGAAGAGAAGAGGGAAGGAAGGAAGGAAGGAAGGAAGGAAGGAAGGAAGGAAGGAAAGAAAGATTGGTAGACGGTAAGGTAGGTAGTGGCAGGTGAGTGAGAGGACGAGGGTGAGGGTGAGGGTGAGGGTGAGTAGTGTGGGTGTGAGAGAGAGAGTAAGAGAGAGTGAGAGGGAGATGGAAGAATCATGAGGCGACAAATTCCAGAGAAGCGAGGTACAGCACAAGGCGCGCCCGCCCACGACCTTACCACTAACTACTGGCAACAGCAACAGCAACTGCAACTGCAACTGCACTGCACTGCACTGCAAGGACAAGCACCACACACACCACACACCTGTGCACCGGCAAAGCAAAGCAAAGCAAAGCAAAGCAAAGCAAAGCAAAAGGGGCAACATGCAGCTGCAGCAGCGTGTCAACGTCCACGCACACGCACACACGGGAGTGTGCAGCAGCAGCAGCGGGCGGATCCAAGACACGCTGCCATATATGCGAATCTCGCCGTTCGGGGTCGCCCCTGTGACCTGCAGCGTGCGAAGCTACCACCTTGACACATCCGCCCAGTATATTATATTATACTACTACTACTTGACCACATTATTACTACTACTACGAGCCGGATACAGTACATGTACTCGCATCATGTACTCATCCATGTACTCGCGTCACACGAGTACAGACTTGTGAGACGATGATGATGATGAGATATGAAGATGATGGACGAGAGATGTTTCGGTAGCCGGCCGACGCCTTACCTTATAGTAGTCAGTAGTGTGCAGTACCTGACTTGGTCGGATCCGGCATCTCACAGCCAGATACAGTACCGAACGAATCGCCGTGCCTGCATCCCGGTGGCGTCTCGTCTGCACCATGCCCATTCCCAACAACGACTTCATCACCCTCATCACTCACTACGTGTACTCACGACGATTCAGGTCTGCAGGAAAATCAATCCATCCACAGTTGCCAGGATACCATCCCACGAAACCTGGACCGTCCGGGAGATGCGAGTGAGGAGTGAGCCTCACTACTTACTGTACAGTACATCCAGTCCCCATCCCGGCTCATGGCTGCCACGGATCCCTCTTGAAACAATGCGCCCTCCGGCCCACCATATCTTGCCACCACCTTGCCACCATCTTGCCAGCATCTCGTCAGCATCTCGCCAGCATCTTGCCCGCATCCGCCACTGGCTTCATCTGCACGACAGCCAAGGCAGAGCAATCCATCCCAATACCGACGCATGGACATGATGAGCTGTTCTACTCCGTGGAAACTCCAGACAAGAAACACTCTCATGCAAGTCAGCCGCGAGCATGATTCGGAAGGGATATCCGCCCTACTACTCAGCCACTCGCTCCTCGCCCGTCCTTCCTGAAACTTTGTAGCTTCCCATGACATTCTTCTTCTTCTTGGAACGCTGCACCTACTACGAATAAGTCTATAACAGCACGGCACCGTCCACACGAGCTTCCCGAACACAACCTCCGTTGCATCCGAGTCGTGCCTCAAATTACGACCGTGTTCCATGCAAGCCTCGGGCCTCACCACCACCAACAAACACCAACTCCGCCCGGAGCCTACCGATCGTGACCTGTCAATCTTAAACGTGGTTGGAAACTTGGATGTTACGAAACCGCTTTCCCAGCATCTCCCCTCCTCCCACGACGCCCCGTGACGGGAGACATCCCTGTCTCGGCGGGAGAGACAGACAGACAGACAAACAAACAAACAAATACCTCCCGTCCGTACGCTGGAGCCTCATCGTTCATAACGGCGCTGCTGTGACAACGGGGGCTGCGGTGAGGTGAACAGCAAACCGCGTTACGTCGCCGAGTGTCATGCATCACGTACTGTACATGACCTTTGGGGATCTACAGCCGTGGGATCGCGCCCCCCGCGTTTCTACCGCCCTCTCCGCGCCTCACTCGGCGGACATGACCACCCGACCGGGCCGAGCATGTGCAATACTGACAATAATGTTAGCCACACAGCACACAGCTTCCTCATGACCAACAAGACTGCGGAAGGTCGATATCTCCCATAGCCGCCATAAGCGCCACACCTCGCTAAACAAACCCGAAGTATCACGTTCTACTCCTCCTCCTCCTCCTCCAGCAGAGCTGCAAGTAAATCCCCTATCTATGCCACGCCCACGCCCACGCCCACGCCCACGCCCTCCTAGGGGCGACACGTTTTCCTTCCTTTCCTTCCAACGACCGAAAAAAAAAGACCAGACAAAGAACAAGAAACAAGAAACAAGAACAAGAAGAAACAAGAAACAAAAGACAAAAAAAAATCTCGCGTTGGGCCCCCCCCCCCCCCCCCCAATGCCCTATTAAGTGAGTGAGTGAGTGAGTTGAGTCCAGGCAAAAAAAAAAAAAAAAAATTGTGCAAGGAGATGATGCACCGACAGAAGAAGTCAAAAATCTCCCTCCGTCATCGTCATCGTCATCGTCATCGTCCTCGTCCTGTCTGTCCGTCCTACCTAACCCGAAAAAAGCTATCAGTACAGTATAGTATATGGTATAGTATAGTATAGTAGTATATAGCATAACGTGGCAGAGATTTCCCGCACGGTTTGAGATTAATACTACTACTGCTGCTGCTGCTGCTGCCATCGCCCTCATTCTGGCCGAAGTGAGAAGAGGAGGTATAAAATCCATCATACGGGGCAAGATTTCGACACAGTAGCGGCTCTCTCTCTCTCTCTCTCTCTCTCTCTCTCTCTCTCTCTCTCTCTCTCTCTCTCTGTCCAATTTCGATCATGATAATAACAACGATAAATGATAATGGGATTCAAGAATTCTCAAGGGACCATTTTTCTGTCTGTCTGTCTGTCTGTCTGTCTGTCTGTCTGTCCTTGTATAAGAAGCCTTTGAGAGGCAAATCTTCAAAGATAAAAAGGGGGAGGGTAATGAATTAGTAGGAGTATGATATCTAGATAGGGGAGGAAGAGAACATGATATCTTCTTCTTCTTTTTTTTTTTGGTTCTTCCCCTCCCACCACTTCTGTTTCTGTGAAACTCCAAACTTCCCTTGCCCATCCCATCCATCCATCCATCCATCCATCCATCCATCCATCCATCCATCCATCCATTCCTGTCCAAGGTAGTAGTCTACATTCTAGTCTGAAAGGCCTTCAACATTATCATGAAGTGAACCCAAGAAGAACACCAATTTCTCCTCACGCAGTCGACAGGCGGTAGTGTCATCTCATCTCCGCTTCCATCATGACTTCCGTCGTCCCATCTAGGAATGGACCTGTTCCATAATCTTCTCCGCCTGCCTTCCCCGGCTGCTGTCCTCCTCGACCGGACTTCGCTCCTCCTGACTATCTTCCATCTCCGCGTCCGTCGGGCTCTGCGCCCTCGAATCAGACAGATTCCTCCGGCGACTGCCTTCCATCCACCCCTTGACGCCTCCAATGAGACCCATGGCGTATCCCGTCGCGAAATCCATGCTCTTCTGCGGCGTGCTGGCGCGCTGGCCGTCGGCGAGCCGTTCGGTCGGCCGAGGAGTTCGACCTCCATTGGTGTTGATGGACGGAGCCGGGCTCGAAGGTCTACTAGACTGCCAGAATTGTCGGATTTCCCGGCTGACTTCTTGCCCCGTGGTAGTCCAGTTGTTGCGGATCGTATCGCGGAGCTCCGAGACGTGCCGCTTGATGTCCAATTCGTTCTTCTTGAGCCAGGAGACGTTCAATTCTTGACGCGAAGTTCCGCGCTTCAGCTGTCGACCGACATACTGCTCGTAGTCTCTCACGATCTTGGTGATGATTCCGGTAGTCGAAACACCCTCCGTTCTCTGCGTCACCAGGAACATGCCCTTCTCTTTGATGGGCTTGTAGATGTCATCCCCCTCGCTGGCGCCGTATGGAAGATCGTCGTGCGCGACATAGTCGATGTTGTGCTTCTCCAGGAAATCCACATCAATGATCCAAGGACAGTCTTCAATCACCTCATCCACCCATCTGCAGTGCCGCACACTGTCCGCTCTTTCCTTCGCGGACATCACCGTCAAGCCTTTCCGTTTATGAGTTTCCGCGTCCCCGGTGACTCCCACGATGAGGTAGGTATCCGGGAAAGATGTCTTGGCCTGCTGGAGAACGCGCATGTGTCCCAAATGGAACAGATCAAAGACACCGTCTGCATACACCCTCACAGGCCGACCCTTCGGCGGCGGGTTCGTTTTATATCCTCCAGCAGGATCCACGACTCCTGCCTTGGGCGGTGCTTCCATGCTCATCTTCCCAGCTTCACCCTGCTCGCCTTCTCCCGGCTTCGCGCCGTTCACGGGCATCTCAACGCGCCCACCAGTCTGCACTGCAATCTTCTCAGGTTTCTTGCCATTCGCGTTGGTCTCGGTCTTTTTGGTAGCAGAGCTGCTAGCTCGTGTGCGCTTAGCAGGAGGATCCATGGATTTCCGTTCCTTCACGTCCTCGAGGATAGGGTCCGCCGCATCTTCGCCAGATGCATCGCGCGAGCTCGTCTGGGCGACCATGGTGTCCGCAGTGTCCCCTTTGTTCGCGGCGGAAGAAGTCGCTCTCTTACGTTTAGGAGCCATGGTGGAAGTTGCGGTTGCAAGGCGCTGGCTTGAAGTCGTGACGGAGTGCTACAGTCGCGTGTGGCCGGAATGGCGAAGCGCGTCACTGTGTGCTACCAGAGACACGGATCGAGAGTGATCTGATGAAGGAGAGTTGCGGGCGTGAAGAGACGTCGCGGGAGAGCGGCACAGGAGTCGATAGAACGACTTTCTATCGAAGGAAATTGAGAGATCCAAGCTTGAGACAAGGTTTCACAGCCAATGCACGGTGACGATCGGCAGCTGCTGCCGAATCGACGTCACCTTGCGAAATTCGAGACATGCAATGAAAACCGGGCACCTCGACAGCGAAGCCAACGTCGGCACTATGACAGAATCACGAGAGTCACAAATTAAGCAACGTTCGGAATGTATTGCTCCAACAAAAGTGTGCTATAACGTTGATTGAATCGATCCGGCTTCGCCACGCACAAAATCGCGCACGCAGAACGCATGCAAAAAATGCAAACCAATCGCCCTCTTCTCTCGGAGCCCCCTCGGCGCTCAGCTCTCGGCGTCCCCCGTTCGTGCGCGTGCTGTTGGTACTTGCGGGTTAGTGAGCGGCCGTGCTTGTGTGTGTCCTTGTTGCTTCACACGCTCCGGTCCGACAGGTCATTGGGTAGGATGGGTGGGAAGAAATTGGGCGTAGTAGTGAGAGGATGAATCGGGGACATGTCGATTCGTGAGTGAGCTTTGTGCATCGATTCGTTGTCCCGTACTGTCGAACTCGCGTCGCTAAGGGGTATCAATTCCGCGATTGTACATTTCGTTGCCCTTTGATTTACTTGGTCTCCGTCAAAGAATCGACCTTCTCGTTCGGCTCTGCAGCGTCGACAGCGGGGACGGTCTTGGGATCCTCGGGACCCGTCGAGTCAGAAGCTCCCGTCAGCCTTTGCTTCGACTCTTCGACCTTCTGCGAAATCTCATTGATGGGGCCCGGTGTCTGTTCCCGCTGACTCCGACCTTTGTCTTCCTCTCCGTTCGACTTCTGAGACTGGTCTTTTCGCACCTGTTCTTCATCGTGGTCTGAAGAGTCTTCTTCAGCCTCGCCGCGCTCATCCATATCGATGTCGCCATCGTTGTCGTGACCGTGGCCTGTTCGAAGCTCAGTACCATCACCGAGAAGTATGATGCGGCCGCCCCGACCTAGCATGCGTGTTCGCTGATCCATATCCATATCATAATCATCTGGCGAGTCATCGAAGCTGTGGTGCATACCGGGTCCTCTAAATTCGGCTGCATGGCTGTCAGCAGGGCTGTCCCAGAGCCACGACAAAATCGCTACCCAAGCGAGTGCGTCTGCAGTAAGGCGTGAGAGGAGAGTTCAAGACTTGCCGTACTCAGGAGGTGCGCAGGGCCCATCTCCGTTCGCGACCCGTTCGCCGATCATCTTGTACCACTCCTCCTTCGTCTTGCCGTTGAGCAGAGCAATAATGACCATGGTCATGTTGTCGCAGCCCACACCACCGGTCTCGGAGTTGGATGCGAGGCAGTTGTCCATCATGTTTTCGCAGATAGAGTGCAGCTCTTGCTTTGCGGCAATTCCTCTCCGTACGAACTCAACGACCGCTTGTGATGACTGGCAGTCCCAGATACCTGCAACCGGTCAACTACCCGAAAAGGACACACTGGAAACCCAGACTTACCATCACACGCAATGACGAGGAACTCGTCATCTTCTCCAAGCTCATGTACGGTCACATCTGGGAACGCCGTGACAATCTGTTGCTCCGGAGGCAGATCTGCGCTCTTCTTGAATTCGAAATCGCCAATGGCTCTGCTCAATGCCAGATTGCCGTTCACTCTGCCAAAATCGACGAAGCCTCCAGCAGCGCAGATACGTGCCTTTTCGCCCTCGTTCTGGGGCTTGTGATCAAAGGACAAAGGCTTGGCGCGGCCTTTGATGCCCAGAACGGATCGCGAGTCTCCAGCGTTACCCTGCGCGAAGTCAATATGCTACCCACGCAGCTCACAATGCGCTGAACATACCACGTAGACCTTGTCCTTGGTGATGATACCCACAGAGGCGGTGCAGCCAGAAACTTCTTCCTCATACTTGGGGTCTGCATCACGTCATTTGTCAGCGGCCGCAATCTCCACCCAATGGCCTCTTCACACGAAATACGCACCACTCAGTATAGCTCTGTCAATGGCGAGAAAGCCGTCTTTGAGCGCCTGCTCGAAGTCCTTACTCTTGAACGACTCTTGCTTGGCCACGATGTTGTGTAGGTGCTCGCCGGCGTAGATTGCCACCTTGTCTCCTCCATGGCCATCATATACTCCGAAGAATGATATCCGCACGTCCGAGGCTGCGGGCTTGAGCTCCTCGTCTCCCTCGAGCGGTTGTAGGTCGAGTACTGCAGCGTGCGCGTCCTCCATGCTTATTCTCCAACCTTGCATGGCGCTGACGCCAAAGGCGACGCGATCATCTTGGCCCTCGTCTGATTTCTGTTTGGTGGAAGAAGGTCAGCTGTCGCACGAGGCGCCCCAGACAGGCCATACATATAACGTGTAGATCATGAATCAATTGCCGCTGCTATGACCCATTATCCGCCCGCCGCTGTTGGCTGCTGCTTATCAAGGACCAAAGTGGGGCTTACCTTTTCAGTGACGGGCTCACTCAGTGTCTGACCCATGATTGCCTACTTGAGCGGCGCGCGATCCAGCGCTGGTCGAGCGAATTTCGTCGAGGTGGTATTGAAAGTGGGGTCGGTGGTGGTGACTACACGGCGGCGGCGAGGAGGTGCGGAGGGAAATGAGGTCGAGGTCGGTGTGAGAGCTGTGGAAGTCGAGGACGGGGGCGTTGGTGTTGTACGGCAATCGGTGGCCACAGTGTGGGGGAAGGAATTGTTGTGGTGGCTGTCGTGAAGTGCGCAAACGTTGCAGTAGAGGAGATTGGCGTCACAGATTTCTGCCTGAGGCACCAGCACTGCGGAGCGGCCTAGGCACAAGGATTTCAGCCTCAATCGTCAGTCTGGAACAGCACTCGACATTCACTCACTCACTCACTCGCTCACTCACTCGATGCAGTCACGATGATGAACGTCTCACATGCACGTCGGCAAAACAGACAGCAGCCCAAGCTCTTGACTCCCGGAGCACTGTCCCTGGCTGCTCCTCAGCAATCTTGTGAGAGCCGCGGCTGCCCAGGATTCCGCGCCTAACTTCGATCAAACGTCTCCCCTATTCAAGCGGAGATACCTGTCACTTGGATCGCCACGACTGAAGGCCCGGTGAGTGTCAAATTGGAGCTGAAATAACATGTCGGTATACGACCCATGCATGTGATTGTGAGTTGTGCTGTGAACCCTCACTCATCTCTTCTGCTAACCTGTGGCCAGATGCTATCCTCTTGCCCAGGAAGGAGGTAACAAGATAGCCTGCCATCTCGCCCACGCCACTCCGCCCCATGGCTTGTCACTCCATCTCTCCATGCGATCGCCGTTTCCGTTCCGCACCTCAACCCACTGTCTTTAGTAGAAGTCTGCGGGAGTCCAGATAATTTCAGAAGAGCAAGCCCCTGGATTCTGCATGGAAATGTCTCCCGCCCAAAGTGGATTCGCTATCTTGAGACACAGTTGGCAGTCCGACAACACACTCCAATACTCTGAGTCTCCAAGATGACTCGCCAACTCCGCGAAACGATAAAGATTGCGAAGGCATCGTCTCTCCGCCCCACCACCGTCTTCAGGGCTCGGTGGCTCCCAGCGAACAGTAATCACCTTTGCACGCACCCGATGCAGCCACTGCTCGAAGTTCGCCCAGTGCGGCGTCTGCTGTCCGCTCGCGACTCGAGAGCGTACCTCGCCAACCTTGAATTCGTGTTCGACCTTCTCCCCGACTTTCTGCCACTGGATGATGACGTCTGAGTTATAGGCCCGGACCTCAATCTCGAACTCGTTCTCTGCGTAGAATATTGGACCGGCCTCGCTTCTTGTCTGCTTACACGCGCGGATGATTCCGGGCTCGATGAATGAGGATGCCGTGACCGTGACTGGGTCTTCGAGTAAGGCTTCACGGTAGATTCTGTTGCGCAGCTCGCCGGGTAGATCGAGGAGGCGCGATGTCTGCTCAGACTCGTGTTGCTGATAAGACATACTGCTGGACAAGTTCGAATCGCGATGGGGGATTTGGAGGCGTCGTCGCCAGCAAGCAAGTCGTGGTTTTGATGTTTCGGTTTGCAAGTCTGGTCGCAACTTCGCAGGCAAGCAAGTTTGTTGCCGTGCACAGATATGTGGTCGCGATTGCTGCAGGTACGTGATTCTTGAATTCTATCTTCTGAGAAATGTGTTCTTACGGAAGGCAAGCAGCAAGCAGATAAAGTTCGCGGCTTCCGCATGTGGAACTTTCTTGGCATTGTTTACTTTCATGTGATTACCACGCACTTCATCGCATTCTCTCGTTTCACAAGACATGCCATGTGTCTCAGCATGCTCTCGACTTCGTCATCTACAGCACCTCCCTGCTACGACTCGCACGAGTCCAAAGACTTGTAGCAGCATCAATTGGCGCCCATGATCGTACAATCCAAGAAGAGGACTTACATCTCCCCACCTTCCTATATCAACTTCATTTCCAAAGCGACTTCGGCGCCACAAGCGTCTTATGCTGATCCTCAACCATTTGCTTCACATACTTCCGTTTCAGCCTGCGACACACAATCACAGTCCTAAACGACGTATTGCTCACATGCCGCTCCAGCTCTCCCGAGATCCCACTCGGTAATTGCCGGTCCACAGCTGCTGTTCGAGATATTCTCGGTCTAAATACGCTTCAGCCAGACGTGAAGGTTTCCAAAGTTGGGAGTCTGAACCATCTGGATGAGCCGTCTGATGTGCAAAGATAGATATTTCCGTTCGAGGGTTACCTTTGGCTTCAAAATTGACCATAATGTCGGAGTTGATAGACTTCAACGTCAGAGCCAATTCACTCTAAACAACAGCAGATAGGGAGGGTCTCCAAGCGAATTTGCTTGCTAGTGGTGAGGAGGCTTGGCTAGGTGATGTCGGCTGGTTGTACCACGACTAGGTCATCTCGAAGGAGATTTAGGCCGTAGATATCGTCGCGAAGCTCGGCTGGTAGAGCTATAAGTCTGCTGTCTATCGTTTCTGTCGAGGATTCTGGCGATATGTGCGTTGAAATTCACCAAGCTGTCATGGAGGACTGCACCGCGGTAGATTCTGTTTCTGAATTATGCAGGCAACCCAAGCAGTTTGCAATCTCCATTTTAAGTGTCTCCAGAATCTGACGATAACGGTGGAGGGCATCCATGCTATAGGATGATGTTGGCCTGTACAGCAATTTTCCCGCAGTTGAACGTGGTTGTCTTCCCGAGCATACTCGCAAAACTCAGGTCAACGGCGAGTCGAATGGCGCAATATCAATGAGATTAGCCGTCAAAATAGCTTTTCAACGTGCGAGGACGCGGTAGCGAAGCACAACTGGTATTGAAGTTAGGTTGAGATCGCGAAGAGGAATGGAAGGAGCGTGAAGGCGGGGCGGCACGTGCTGAAGCCGCAATTGTCCCGGCGCGCTAAATTTGCATTTCTACGTCATTACTTCACCCCTTTTTAATTTATCGCTAAGCAAAGAATTCTGGTATCAACCCGCGAAGATTAGACATCCCGACTCACCAAAGAACGCCAACTCACTCCCACGGTTGCTTCAGAGTAACAAGAATGGCATGTGTGCATTTCTCTTATCATTTTGACAGTACCGAACATCGACTTGACGATATACCGCTAAAACGCGGGGCCCTCCTTGCTCGGAGTTAGAGCTCTCGGATTAGAATGCTAGAGCCTGTATAAGAGTTCGGATGCATGCATTGCTTCAGCCAAACCTGAATACTTGCCCAATTTGGCGTCTGCTAGCATAGCACTCGCGTCTGGACTTTGGTCTTAAGATCACGAGATGAGAGATCCCGCTTCTGGTTCATCTTGATAAGGCAGTCTGAGTTTTCCTCACGCGTGGCGATACGGAATAGGTCTCCGCCGTAATAAATATCGACGTCGCGTCAACTCTAATCTGCTTGTCCGCTGGAAGTCGGAGTGACTCATCAAGCCTCTCGAGATGCACGAACATTCTGCTATTATTAAGGCAGATAGCAAAGCGGTAGATTGCATTGCGGAGCCCTTCTGGAAGGTCAAGAAGCTTGGATCCCGTCGACTCGTGTGACTGTTGATGACGCTCTATTGTTTCGTACATCAGCAAAAGCCCCATTCATGTGCTTCAAGGAGATCAGAACCGAGAAGCAAGTCCTCCAAGGAGAAGCGTGCAGCCTTTTGGAGAACTCTAGACGAGGTCCCCGCATATTCGCGTCCCGTTGCTGACGTTCCACGACTGGTCCGATGCCAGCTTCAATTCAATTCTATTGTATCACCAGCTGTCTTTGTTCTGCACAGTCTCTGACCTCTCATCTCAGCTCATAGCTTGCTCCTCTCCTGGATCAACGAATAGCTCTTCGGCTGACTCTCCAACCACGAACGATCTAGCTGGTCAATGCTTTGAATGCCCGCAACATTCATCATGATGTCCAAATCCGCAAGGAGCCCTTTCATGACGTGCCTGACACCATGCTCTCCCATGATGGACAGTCCCCACACCCAGAGTCGGCCTACAAAGACGAACTTGGCACCGAGAGCGAGGGCTTTCACGACATCGCTGGCGCCTCGCACGCCTGAATCGTACATGATGTAGATCTTGTCGCCAACCGCTAGGTCAAAGTTAGTATCGTGTGATGGGCCGATGGGAAGGCCAACTTACCATCTACAATGTTCTCCAATGCATCAAGACTGCCAATAGCTCCATCCACTTGCCGACCAGCATGGTTGGAGACGACAATGCCATCGATGCCATACTCGACACACTTTCTCGCATCGGGCACGCTCTGGATGCCCTTGATAGCGAATGGCTTGCCGCCGCTCAGTTCCTTCCAAGTCTTGATCAACCATGGAATCTTCTCCCAACTCCAAGCGCGGCCATGCCAGACATTGTCGATCCACTTCGCACCCGCCTCGTTGGGTTGCTTCACTGGATCAATGCCATCTGCTGCTAAGCGTTCCTTGAAGACAGGGTCCGATAGTCCAAGATCTGCTCCGATACCATGGTAGAATGCGTAATTACTGGTGTTGATGTCGTCATGTCTCCAGCCGAGCTGCCACGTGTCCACCGTCAAGATGCAGGCACTGAAGCCGGAGTCCACGGCTCGCTTCAGCAGCGAGATGGTGAGCTCATCATCGTGAGGCATATATAGCTGGAAGAACCTTGGGCCTTCCCCGTTCGCCTTCCCAACGTCCTCAATGGGCTGCGACCCAGCAGTGCTCAGACAATATGGCAGGTTCAACTCTTTCGCAACCTTGGCAACGGGAAGCTCGCCCGCCGGATTGTAGATCTTGTTGATGCCAATGGGGCTGAAGCCGATCGGTGCAGCAACCTTGTGGCCCCAGATCTCGGCCTTGGTGTCTCGCTTGTTGGTGTCCACCAGCATGCGTGGGATGATCTTATGTCGGTAGAATGCTTGACGGTTCGCAAGGTGTGTGAGGGACTGGCCGGCGTTCGAAGATGCGTAGTACCATCCTCCTTCCGATAGACGTTCGCGAGCACGTTCTTCTAGCTTGCTTGGGTCAGTGTTGAAGAGAGGTGTCTTTCCATCGTTGCTGAGCCAGAAGTTCTCTCGCTGATATTCGGCAAACTCTGGCGTTGTTCGGTAGGTCTTGTTCTCGCTCTTCGTATCCATCTTGGATCTACTATATCGTCAAGCAGCCCCGAGAAAGGTAGAGTGGTAAAGAAGGAAAGGTTCAGAAAGAAGGGGATTCAAAAAGATTATGTCTGCAGCACCTCCGATACTAGATTTTATGCTTATGTTCTGTACACTTCTCTTGCCTCCTACATCACTGCATTCACGTCCCGGAGCGGAGCAGAGTCCGCAGCATCCGTCATGATTAGCAAGTGACAATTTGCGGACCGGATGGTGCGGCACAAGGGCACGTCACAACGTGTTGAAATCAAATCGTGAAAGTCGAGATCTCCTGCGAGGCGTGAGGTCATATCCACATATCTAAACGCTAAAGCGCTAGTCACGTGCAGGTTGTCCACGGTACTATGGTAGGTCCGCCGAGCTGCTAGCATCGAACACCAACCCTCCTCTTCTACGACCAGTCAGCAACCATCAGGCATTTGCTCCATCAATCACCTCGTCACTCCCGCTTCGACAGCTTATGCGACAACGTATAGAACTGCCTCAGTTTACCGAGAACTTCTAACTCTTTTCTCACACGTTGCTCGAATCATAGGCTAGACATTACCTTGTCGGCGCCGAGAAAATGACCTTCTCACGCTGGCCCATTGGATACCGTGCTAAGAATACATATGCGGAGACGTCAAACTCGATCTCTGAGCTCAGGTGAGAAATGAAGCCACAGCATCGTACTTGATCCCTTTTCGTAGTGCTTCCTTACCTCAAGAACTTTCTCACGACACACGCCGTGACAACCTCTTGAGGCTCCTGCTCAGCTCGATGGCCATGGCCTCGAGTGAAGTCGATACGTCTGAGCCTTTCCCACCTCTGCTGAGGCTCCCGGCGGAACTTCAGAACGCGATCTATTCGTATGCGCTGGTAGAACCTATCGAAATCACAGTTACCCGACGCGAATGGGCACTGCACTACTACGGACATGCCGCCATATCCGAAAAGAGACCGCCAAGATGTACTTCGCCGAGAATCGATTTCGCCTCATCTTCGAAGATTACGATAGCTCCGTGTATACTGCCCTACTGAAAGTATTGAAGAGCCACGGCATTGAAATGCGGGAACACGTCAAAGTATCTATACGCGGCGATCCGAATTGGGACAATCTAAGCCGATGGCTATACCTTCTGAGCACGCACAAATGCAAGGCGCCCGAACGCTATGAAGACTATGGGCAAATGGAGTACGACAGCTACGACAAGTTACAGATGGTATTCCACTGCGCTCAGAAGGGCTGGCGTGACATGGACTGGAGAGCTTTCCAGTTCCCTCTGCAGCTGTTCCGCATTATACTTGCCAGTTCGGACCGCCGATGGCTGCCAGCGGATCAAACGTTCCGCGATGCGCGTGATCTGTTCATACGCACCGATCTGACTGCTGGCCTGGAGAACATGCGCGAACAGATTGATCGAGCAGATCCTCGGATTCACAGATACAGGCCCCGAAATATGGAATGAAAAGAGGCGGGAAATTCCCAGCGCATCCGCAATCGAACATCATACGGAACTCCATACGCAGTCGCTAAACGCAATATATTGAACGCTCAAGTTGTCGACCTTTCTGCCCCCAATTTGTCACCATCTACTCCTCCAGCTCATACTCTAGCGTGTGGTCCTCGCTGCACTCATTGCAATAATACCGACTGAGTCCCCAGCACGTCACGACCTTATCTTTACACATGTCGATGGTCCAGACATCCACCGAGTAGCCGGAAAGGTACCTGTTCGCGCAAAATTCGACGCTGTCGGAGACGACGTAGTGATCGTGGCCGCAGTAATAGAAGAGGTAGTCGTATTTGCACATCTTGGGCGAGCCAGTCGCTGGAGTCGGGAAACGAATGTGATGTCTGTGCGAAAGCAGATCGGTTCCGTTGTTTCGATGGGAAATTCCCTAAGTAGCGAGTGACTTGTGAGCTTGACAGATAAGAATTGAATCAAAGGGAATACAGCAAGTCTTACAATCCTGTAGATATCACCAACCCTGCTATGCAAAATCCAAAAGTAATGCCAAGAAGCCAGAAAGTACGCGATCAAGCTGTCCTTTGTTTGCAATGGGGCCAGATCAACTACTTATCTCTCTCCCCCTATGTCCGACCATCACGCCTCACTTTCCGAGCCTCTGTGCTCGGGAGAGCGAGCCAGGATCAATTGTTCCAATGGAACCATCGCATCGCATCGCACCGCAACGAAACGAAACGACCTCAGACGTCCCGAAAGAAGCCAGGAAAGCTAAATCTGCAACTCCCGGATCCAGGGTCCTTGTCGTGTGGTTTGGGCGGTCTGGAACGTGGGATCGGTATCGGTATCGTGCGAGTACCTTCTGAGACTACGAGACCACACTGATCGTATAGGGTAGGTTGTGTTGCTATCTCACTATTTTGTCTTCCAAGCTTGTGGACTTATGCGGCAACAAGGAGTAAAAAAAGTTGCTTTCAAGAAATGGATTCATTCACCTACACATCCGCTTGTCCAGCAGGGTTGGCCGGGGAAGCGAATAGCGATCAGCCGCCATCAGTGGGGACCCTGCATGTGTTATTATCTGCAACCACGAATAGATTTCACACCTTCACCTTATCTTCTGGACTGAGGCAGCGAGGTCAGCGTACCGGAACGAGCGAGTAAAAAGCGAAGTCGGTGGTGAAGCTGAGGCAAAAGCCAAGATCAAATTTTGAAGATCGCCTTCATTGACGAGGTAGTAATTTCTTTCTCAGGTTCGTGAGACTCCTGATATCATACATCTGTCCTCTTTTCCTCTCCTTTCATGTGTCCTTGAAGCAAACCAAATGGGTATCTCAAGCAAAGGAAAAAGCCCGCTCCCTGATGCAGAAGAAGGATGAAGTAAATTGGTCGACGTCTCCAATGTCATCATGTCCATGTCATTCCCCGGGCCAGATAGGGTCCTCCCAAATCCTCATATGGTATTGGAAGCGGGAAGGAACCTCTGCTTTGTGACTGTCACCAATTCATCAACAAAAGTCACATCCGGCTTCAGGGTTCCCACGGCCACCATGTTGCCAAAGGGCATGACTAGATCCATATTGTTGGCAGATGGGTCGTTGGTAATATCGGCCTTCATCGTCGTCTCTCTATTGACGAGGATGCCTCCCCATCGGCTGCCACGCGGAGAAGGCTGGTCGCTGCTACGAGAAGGCGTCGAGGAGTAGTATGGCTTATCGACAAGCTCGTGCATCGATGATGCATCGTCCAGCTGGTACTCTACAGGGACGACACTACTGGCACTGGAGCTCAGCTTGCCACTGCCTCTGGAGTGCGACTGTCTAACGCGCTTCAGGGGCGTGTGACCCATCGCAACCGAGAGCTTTGCCATCCGGTGGGTTCGTCGAGCCTGTCGTCTTACAAAGATCGGAGCAAAGGCTTGATGGATGTCTCTCGTCAGCACGGCATGGTCAGGCGATCCAGCATAACATCGATGTCTAGCATCGAAGAATGACCTTGGAATACGGGTAAGCGAAGGCGATCCGTCGATAGATGCGTGCATGTCTCCGATGACCGTGAAGGAGTATATCGTCGTAACATCAGAACGATCCTCAAGAGGTCGAGAAAAGTGAGCAATCAACTGCCTCGACCAGAACTTCGCCTCTCGAACCCATTCTTGCGGAAATGGCTGGATCAAAGTCAGAATTGCTTGTCGAAGTACGGTCATGAACTGCAGCTCATGCAGCATGTAGCCCTCTGTGAGTTGTCCAGTTCTATCGTCGAGCTTGTCAAGGATCTCTGGGATTTGTTTATCGTTCAAACGCTCAAAAATGCAGATTTGCCATGCTTCGGGTCGGGTTTGTAGCAATTGCACGTCTGGTAGCTGATCCTGCTGCTCTTTCTTGACAACAACGTCAAAACCTTTGTGATGAGGTTTCGGCACCATCGCAAAGAAGCTAAGCCATGTGCCTGGCTTTTCCGTAGTGACCAAGCTCTCGTTGTACCGCTTCAGGCTGGATATGTGCCCTTCTAGCACCGACAATGTGATCTGCATGGCATTTGCAATCGTGCGGCCCACGTGCTGGACGCTGGCGAACTTGTATCCCGCGTTCAGGAGCTGCGTGCAGTCTTCTTCAGATGCTTGTCGAGTGATGAACATGAGCTGACCCTTGCCAAACAGATGGTGCCGTAAAGCAGCTTCGACCTCAGCCGGCGTGGGCTCTTTCGCCCTTCGCCAACGTCGCCTGCAGCACGGATCTTGCCTATTGAGCGTGCCGGTGTCGATGACTCGGTCATAAAGCACACCCAACCTTTCAATGGGCATGTTCATCGAGGAAGCCATCGAAGCTGCCGCGGTGCAGAAGCGTTCTTGGAAGACGAGTGCAAAGTTATTGTACGTCTCGGCATCAAAAATAGCGCTGGATGCAGAGCTATTAGGTCTTGTTCCGCTGTCTAGATCTTCCCGATGAGCGTGGAGATGACTCTTCATCTTGGGGATGAGCGCTCCTACGCTGGCCCAATGATGCGTTACACGATAGATCCACTGGAAGACCGGATGCGCGGTGTCGAACTCGTCGTCGAAAGTACGGTGATTGTACTTGTCTGTAATCTCACGAGCTGGTAGAATGCCGTCTGTAGTGACCAGTATGCGTCCAGAAGGGTCGAATATTGCGCATGCAAGCATGACTTTCTGCGATCTTGTTTTGACTAAGGCATCGCGCGATCGCGCGATCATGAGCGCGGTTGTGACCAGTAGTGCACAAGCGCCACACAGTGAGCCAGCGATGGCGACTTGAATGTCTCTGGACCTAAGTTCTCCCGGGCTGGAATAGGACTTAAGCATGTATTCGCAATCGGTGGCTGCTGTAAAGTGCATCGCTGAGACCCCGACTGCAAGAGCCATGGCGCATCCGACGCGTTTCCACCACGCACTGATCCATTTCTCTCGCAGAGTGTAGAACAATATCAGGACGGCCAGACAATCTCCCACGGAAATGACGAAAGACGCAACCAGGTATCTCGTGTTGTAATGTAGTGCGTGGTGTTTGACCCCAAGGTTGGCCACATAATGCATACCCACGACTGAAAGCCCGGCAAAAACTCCGGTGCACATCAGTGCTGTCCAGTGAACCCACTTCCTGTTAAACTGATATTCTGCTGCCGAAAAAGCTGCAGTCAAGCCAAGAACAGGCAAGATAAGTGATAAGACGGTGAATCCGGACTCGTAAACAAGTTGGACTCTTGGCTCGCCTCCGCCCACAACAATGGCACGATTGCCGATGAAGTGCATGCACCAAACTCCGACAAGTCCCATGGAGACCGCGCACGATATCGTCTCCATCCTGTCCGAAGTGTAAGCGCAGGGCTTTCGAAAAAAGCGAAGACTGACAACTTACCAGCTTCTCCAGCTCCCGAGCGCTGTTGATCGTCGGTGTAAGATCTCCACCGTGAGCTGGCACCCGCAGAGACTGGCCAGATACGAAGCGGCCACGAGCCCATAGTTGAATCTAGCGCCTAGGGTGTCGCCCGGATTCGATGATGATGACATCCTCGCCGTCGCCCTCGTTCGCTGACGTTGTCGTTGTCGTTCTGATGTTCACGATGCCTGTGGATAGACAGACGTCAGTTAGTTATCGAAGCGGTGTTGTTCATTCTGCTCAAGGTCCGGCTGAGGTTCTGATGTCCGAGCTTTGCATGTGAAAGCTAAAGCGAAACTCGCGCAAAGTGAAACCAAGTGTCAGACGATGCTTATTGGCCTGCGAAAAGCAGAGTGTAGTGGGTACCAACAGCGTGTTGCTGGCGAGCCAGTGCCATTGTGCACACCGGAGCCTGCCACTGCACTTACCTACTGTGACGCCAAAGTCGACGAAGTGAGCGTCGTCCGAAACGGTGAAGGACGTCTAGCACCACTGCTCCTTTCTCTCGCCGAAAAGTCCAAGTAGCGTTCGAGAGATCAGGTATTTGCTCCCAAGAAAGATGATATTTTTGATGTGGCAGTGTCATTGCATTGGTCCGATGTCAAGCCGGGTCCAAATTGGCAAGTATGTCAAGGGCACCTGGTCGGTGACAGAGCACAACGGACGTTGCTTGTGACGTCTGAGGAGATGCTGCATCTGCACTAGGTAGTCTGCTCGAGCTATGCGGTATTGGCTGTAGAAGTGTTTGTGAGGATTTCTAGGTCGAGTCGGCCAAAGTCCTCTCCGTAAGTGTACTCGGTGAGGTGTTGTACAAAGGTATATCTGCTCAACGTCAAAGATAAAGGGTAGCAGGACGCGAGTTCGGATACATTGAGGTGTAGGTTGGAACGGCGGTTTGCAGCATGATCTGTCGAGGGAAGGCACAACGGGAGATCAACCATCGAGCCGCTGGAGAGCAGGAAGAATGGGCAGGCAGCGCTCCCTGCCGCTGAGATACTTTGGGGATGAGACACCACACCAGCTCGGGGAAGCAGGAGCCACACGCACGGGATCGTACGCAGTCGCAACTCCGCACCAAAGACAAGAGCGACCGAAAGCCTGGAAACCCACTGGTATCAGTGGCGTTCGTTAATCGCAAGCGCGGATGCGCCAAGCGGACAGGGATTAGCCGCATGCGACAATGTGCATAGAGTCCAGTATCGATTGGACGCTCATTGGGTTGTCATTTCGAGCCACAGCTAAGCGAACGCATGTAAAGCTCGAAGCAGCAGTACAGCAGTACAGCAGTCAAGAGTGGCCGCGGACCGCCGAGGTTTTCTTGTTACACCTGCACAGAACAGGCACGATGGCTACACAAGTGACCTGCATCTTGTCGATGATGATGCGAAGGATCGCTTTGGTGGCGCCTTGTGTATGAATTCGCACAGCAGGGAGCGACAAAGACAATGCCTTTGGTCTCTAGCACTCCTGCGCTGAAATTTAAAGATACCATCGGATGAGATGAGCATCGCGCACAGGAGGACGCCGCGATTGGAAACCCTGTCGTCTATCAATGCCTTCCTGGTTGTGGCTGTTGATGGCCCCATGCGTGCATATTTGCAGCGGAGCATAGTGGAGTGCGGAGGTTTGTACGCTTTCAGAAACAAGTCCCGGTCATCTCATCTCATCCGGATGACAAACGCAGCATATCCGAAGGTGCCACGGAACAACGCACCGGTAAACATCGGTGTTCGGTCACGCGCAGAACGCTGGAGACACCCAATGCCTGCTTGCTTCGTGGACGTGTGTGACATCGCTCGTGGAGGGTGACGGCATTCGAAGATGACTCCATCCTGTGTTCGTGCCGTTTTCCAATTCAAGACCTGGAGGAAACCAACGACTTGATGGACAAGACGGAACGACACGTGCGTATCGTGGAGAGGGGTGGAGGTAGCAGACAACACTTCTCGTGTGGACTCGTGCGACGATTCGTCTCTCGCGTGTTTGAGAGCAACAGCGGCCAGACTATCCTCCTCCGAAGACGGTAGGCCCCACGCCCCAAGGGAGAATTTCCAAGATCGCATCAGATTGACTGTCCGGGATGAGCAAGCATGCACTAGATGGGCAAAATTTCATCGTCTGAGTTGAATGAGTGGCGAGTCACAGTTGCAATGCCTTCGTCTTGAGACTCAGTAAGGCGTGGGGTCTCTGTCGCTATCATGTCCCCATCATCCATTCCAGCTAAATGCTCCAGGCTCTCGCCATTGGATAATAGCTCTTCGTCATCTTCGAACATACCCAGATCCAGAGGACCTCCCGAAGGCATTTGGGGGCTCATTTCGGGCATAAGACATGCTGGTGTCCTACGCTTTAAACCTTCACCTGGTACAAGCGCAGTAGCACCTTCAGCTATCTCCGCGCGGTCAAGAAGAGATTCGTCATCATCTGAACAGGTGCATGAGTGCGGTCCATTATGCCACGTCTCATCGTAACGCGAGTCAAGAAGATCCAGATCATTGAGATTATCATCTCCATTCTTCCTAGAAAGTGGTATAAGTAGATTGGCGGCTTCCATATCGAACAAGGAGGTTTGCATGGTTCGCCAGAGAACGCTGGAGACAGTCGATGATGCTCTGCCCGAATCGCTGTTGTGACGCAAGTAGTCATGTCGCGCATCGTGCCGTCGCTCCAGCTCGATCATTTTACTACGCAGTCGGGAACTCTTTGCGTGCTCGGCACAGATTCCATTCAACCCATGGCTTATCGTTGGAAGTAAAACAGATCTGCTCGACATTGCATACAGATAGCCAGGAGACCAAAGCGTGGGAAGGGTGTTGGCAAGACATTTGCAAGACTCGTTTCCATCCATCCTCACTCCTCTGGCAAGACACTTCGGCGAAGGAGAAATCGCCATCCGAAGGCCGGCGTCCAGGATACCAAGGAATTCCTGGCGAGAAATTTCTTGTTGACCAGCTGCATTGAGATCTTCGGTGCTGCAGGACCTTTTTTGAGCCATCGACTGCGTGATATTGCTACGTGCAATACGACTCTCCGCTGGCTCGGAACCAAGTAGCATGTCATATCGACTGCAGTGCGCAGGTAGATTGGGGTCTGTCTGAGTGCGACTAATGGCTCGGTGTTCTTGTTGGCTCGGTGCTGTGTATGACCGTCGAGCTTCTGTTGCACGACCAAAGCAATGCTCAGCGTCCGGTTCAAAGGAAGTCTTGGCTTCCAGATTAGGAGCCAGTTTCCGACGTTTGAGCGGCGATTCGCAAGAGATGTCCATCCGCAGGCGAATCGCATCCAGCTGCACCTTCTGTATCTCGGGAGGCGCTCGAACGTCAGATGCTGGTACTCCTTGCCCCAGTTTGTGCTGTTGGCGAGTTGGCCCTTCCGTTCTGACCTCTTCATGGGCAAGATAGATCGTGATCATACCCGCGGCTTCGGAATCGCGCACTTCTAGACGTGTAGACGTTGGCTTCAGATGTATTTGTTGCCAAAGCTTTCCGATGTCAGCCCTTGTCTCTAACCATGTTTGGGAAGAGCAAATTGCCTGACCTCAGCTGTGCTCAACGTCTCGGCTGCCGTCTCGAGCAAGCGATGCCTCTCGCGATCTCGTTCGCCGCTGCAGAAACGAATGTCTAAAGCCAGATGGAACTCGGAGCCTTTCGTAATCCATGGTCTGTCTACTGAGTGAGTAGTGAGTTTCGCTACCGTCAGTCTTGATGGGCACTGAGCGTCCTCTCCGGACGAAGCAAATTGCGCGTTGCTGGACAGGCGAAGTCTTAAGCCTGAAGTTGCTGAGATCAGATCAAGCGCACCGAAGTCCAGCATCACAGGAGCCATTGATCTCTCTCACGCTTGTGCCGGCTCATCCAGTCGTGAGGTGAGGTCAGGAGGGAAGAAAGGGAGAGTTAAGACGAAGAACCTTTTGGAAGGCACAGTTCGGGAGGTCGGCATGTCGTATCTCGGGACGTTCCGGAATCTCGCTCCTGGCCGATCAAAACATCTTCACAGACCTAGTAGGTACAGAAGAATTTGTCGAATGTCTGCCTTTCCAGGCATCTACCTGTGATCGCGATCCTACCATGGCCGCTGTAAGGTCCGCGTGGACGGCCTTGATCCGCGCGAAGCCAGCGAAGGCGCCGCTGGGTCTCCTTCCAGCTCGACATTTTTCAGTATTTGGGTCTCTACACACGGACGGAGTCTTCCGAGCTCTCACGAACGAACGCGTCGAGACACCATGGGTAGAAGCTTTCCGTCGCCAGCAAGTAGAGGGCGATGCAGCGAAACAGCCTTCTGGGAAGTCCGAGACGCCCAAAGACCGTGACCTGTCGCCGCGGAAGATGTCCGATTCCTATCACAACGTTGTGAGTACTGAGAATGGCATAGACGTTTCTCAGCTCACTGACTGATGTGCCAGGGGTAGGTGCTTCCACTGGCTCAAGATCCATGGCTGCTAGACACGTACATGAACGCCTCTGGCCATATTCGTATTGGAACGATCCTAATGGACCTGGATGCGCTTTCAGGCGTAGTTGCCTACAAGCATACCGGTGATGGAGTATCTACCGTAACGGCAGCTTGTGATCGAATTACGATCAACCATCCGTTGACAGAAGTCTGTGATCTCGAATACAGCGGCCAAGTCACATATGCTTCAGGCCGCTCCTCAATGGAAATCACTCTGCAGGTAGCGAAGGCACCGAAAGCTGGAGAGAAGGCGAAACCCGAGGACGTGATGATGACTTGTCAATTCACAATGGTCTCCCTAGACCCAGGGACGAAGAAGCCAGTCAACATCCCGGCGATACGCACTGACACCGAAGAGGAGAAGGCTATCTATGCTCAGGGCGACAGAAACAGCCAACATCGTAAACAGCTCCTCAAGAGGTCCCTCCTGAAGCAGACGCCGAATGATGAGGAAAGCGATCTTATCCACGCTATTTGGCAGCGGCAGCTAAAGTATCATGATCCAAACGATCCGATTCGCAAGCCTGCCAATGTCCACTTGATGGAAGCAACGCGATTGAACACAGCGAGCATCATGCAGCCACAATACCGCAACCGACATCAGTACATGATTTTTGGCGGCTACCTACTCAAGCAGACCTTCGAGCTGGCCTTCTGCTGTGCGGCAAGTTTCGCGCATACTCGACCGACATTCGTCTCGCTCGACCCGTCAACCTTTCAGAACCCCGTACCGGTCGGGAGTGTCCTCTATCTTACGGCGACAGTGATATACACAGATCCACCTCTTGTCCCGGCAGCCTCAGACGGCAAGCCTCCGACAGACAGAGCAGAGAACAGTCAGACTCGCATTCAGGTTCGCGTGGACAGCAAAGTGCGGGATGTGGAGCATGGCATCGCGAAGCCCACTGGACAGTTCAACTACACCTTCACTGTCGACAAGGACATTAAGATCATGCCAAGGACGTACTCCGAATTCATGATGTACGTCGATGCCCGGAGACGAGCGCAGCAGGTCCAGGAGAGTATCACGCATGGAGAGACGGACAAGGGAGTAAAGGAAAGAGTGACAGAATAAGCTGCACCAGTGTGTTTGTATTTCAAATGTCTAAGCTAAAGGCATATGGCGTTCATCAGATACCGTCGTAGGCAACGTAGCATCAAAGGGCGCCGCAGACCGTCCAGTGAAGGATCAGCCCAACGTCGCATCTCAGTGCTTGACTCTAATTGCTTTTCATCATCACCTGAAGGCCTGCCCATTCCGAAAGCAAACATGGTTGAGTCCGGCTGCTTTGACACAGCATAGGCGCGAGTACTGGGACCCGCCCAGCGAACCCGAAAAAAGAGTATTGAACTCCTCGCGTCAAGAATAAGCCCCATCGAGTTACCCGTCCCAACACCAGCCCGCAGTCCGAGTGAATCATGGGCGCAGCGAAGGGTGTCCGGGCAATCACATATCTATCGACCACGACGAAGTGCTCCCGCAGCCAACCTTGAGCCCAACTTGTCTCCCACGCAGATCCCAAGCACCTCCTCTTACTTTTCAGCCGTACGACAGCGAGACCCGCCAAGGAAGGAGCGCAGACTCATATCCTCGTCTCCCTTTGAAGGGCAGCCGCCCGAAAGCGACCGGTCTCCAAACCCGCAGTATCCGAGTAGTAAAGCTTCTGAGCAAGAGTACGAGCGGTGAATGGGTAGGTGGACGAGGATGGAGGTCGGAGCGAGATGAGCCGCGAAGGTGCTTCTGTGGCGGCGCGTTTCCGCAAGTCTGCTACAGGTAGCAGGGTGTCCGGGGACTTTCTCCCAAAGCCAATGATGGACGGAGTGCGAGACTCTGTCTGTGTGTGAGCTTTGAATGCGATTTTTTGAGCGAGGAGTTGGAGTGAAAATGAATTTGAGCTGCTCGGAAGGTTCTTAAATTTCCGTGGCAGCGGGATAGGGACCGTCCCGCTGCCAGGCAGACGCCAGGCATCAAGGCAACAATGAGCTTGCTTGTCAGAAGTTGCCTACTCCAAGACGTACTTCAACGTTCACAGGAAGGGATCAGTTTTGTATTTAACTGAAGCTACTCTCCCCTTGTCCTCGAAGCTCTCTGCAGTTTTTCTTGAAGCGTGATTCCCAGGAATGCCATTCTGGTGAACGCTTTGCTGCCGAAACAACCGAGACGATCAGCGACGCGAGACTTCACGCGCTTCACGCAACCTCACGACCAAAGAGACAAACGGCGGAACTAGAAGTGAACTACTGACCAAGGTCACTTGAGACATTTCCATATAGATCGGCAACGCTTTCTGTAAGTCGCACACCACCAACCAAACAGCCGACACATCGCAACAAGCAGCCTAATATGCCGGTCCTCAGCAGCTACGCGAGCCCTCGAAAGCCACCCTCGAGTACCACCACACCCGATCCCACGCCGCGAGGAGGCAGCATGGCGGGCATCTTCGGAGGAGCCAACCAGGCCGCCTCGAGTAACGCCAACCCTACCCAAGGCGATCTCTCCAAAGACGTCCCCCTCTCCGCCCCTCCCGACGACAGCATATCCGCGATTCGATGGAGCCCCAAGTCGGATCATCTTGCAGTCGCGAGCTGGGACAAGAAAGTAAGAGTGTATGAGATTTCAGCAAATGGAGAGAGCAAAGGAGTCGCAATGTTTGAGCATGAGGGTCCCGTTCTGGATGTGTGTTGGAGCCCGGTAAGTCTAGGATGCGCACGAACACAACTATAAGGGAACGAAACTGATGGACTTCTCAGGATGGCACCAAGGTCTTTGGTGCGGGCGCAGACAAGGCCGTGCGTATGCTTGACCTCGCAGCCAACCCCAATGGTCCAGCGCAACAAGTAGCAGCGCACGACCAACCCATCAAATGCGTTGAGTCCTTCGAGGCTGGCGGCGCCACTATGATCGTGACTGGCAGCTGGGACAGGCATATCAAGTACTGGAACCTGCAGCAGCAGACGCCTGTCGGCTCTGTAGAATGCAAGGAGCGTGTCTACGCTATGTCGCTCCACCCACAAAGCCAAATGCTCGTCGTTGGTACCGCTGAGCGCTGGATCCATGTCATCAACTTGGCCAATCCTAACACCTTCCACAAGACCATGCAGTCGCCACTCAAGTGGCAGACACGCGTGGTCAGCTGCTTCACTGATGGCACTGGCTTCGCGGTTGGCAGTATCGAGGGTCGCTGCGCGATCCAGTACGTCGATGAGAAGGACTCCTCCAACAATTTCTCGTTCAAGTGCCATCGCCAGAATTCGACCACGGACCGCAACACCAGCAATGTCTATGCTGTGAACGCCATCAGCTTCCACCCTACCCATGGCACATTCAGCACCGCTGGTGCAGACGGCACTTTCCACTTCTGGGACAAGGACGCGAAGCACCGTCTGAAGGGATACCCCGAGGTTGGCGGCACCATCACTGCGACCGACTTCAGTTATAACGGCAACATCTTCGCATACGCTATCAGCTACGACTGGAGCAAGGGCTACAGCGCCAACAACGCGCAGTTACCGAACAAGATCATGCTTCACCCCATCGTGGGAGACGAGTGTAAGCCTCGCCCGAAGCCTGCTAAGCGGTGATTGCTGTTGCGTGCGTATCTTGGTCACTGGGCGCTAATGCTTGTCCAAAGGTCAAAAGTACCAAAAGAAGAAGTAATGACGGCGGCTGTCTCTTCTCGGCTTTTGACGACGGCATCATCTCGAGCGAGGCGTTTGGCGTACTACTACTGCAACTGGGTAGGAAACTGCATCCGCAAAATGCGTGGGTATGTAGCACCATGCCATGAAAATGAATTGAGAGCACTCGCACTTCCATTCCACTCTCCATCTCCATCCTCAGACACCGCCATCGGCTGCACGTTTTGCTCATAGCAACAGCATGGCCATAGCACTGAAGTCATTTCAGGTAGCCCAATCCTCAATCTCCTTCGTGACCTTCCAAATCTTGCAATCCAGCCTCATCATATTTCTCTCAGTCCAAGATAGGCGGTCATCAATGTACCGATCCCCACAAAAGCGCCCCATCAGAACGTCCCGCATGCCTTGTTCTTCCACGAGTTCCGCGCGTAGGAGCGCAAGGTAGGTGAGCAAAGCATCATCTCGAATGCTTCGAGATGTCTGGAGAATGGATGGTTCGCGAGCGGGATTGTCACGACGAGCGTCTGTTCTGAAGCAGAGTTCCCTGTGGTGTTCTTCTGTTGGTGGGGTCAGGCGACAAGGAAGGGATCAGGCTGGCGTACCAGATTGCGATGCGGAGCTCAGCCGGTAGTGCAAGGAGGGGAGATTCATCCGTCTCCATGGATGGCAATATGGAGCAGGTGGACGCTGTAGGTAGTGGCATTGAAGAGCTTGTGTAGCTGAAGGAAGATGTTTTGAATGTGAGGAAAGCCTAAATAAGGTTCGCGCTAGCGCTCCTTCCTGATTGAGAACGCAGCTTCCACAGGAAAGTACGATGGAACAAAGAAAAATACAAACAGACTCGCTGGCATGCTCTCATATATCTTTTGACACGCTCATCTTCTCGCCACATCTAGAGCAGCGTCCACCGCTACCTTTGTAAGACTTCCGTAAGAAAGAACGACCCTTCGAACCGCTCCTTGCCTGAATTCTATCACCATGTTCTTTGATCAGCGTCAACACCCTCACAATGCTTTCAGACTAATGATCTCTGTTCTCAAAGGCTTCAAGTCTCCACCGTTCGTCTTCTCCAAACACGTCAATGGCCATCCCCCAGCTTTACTGCGCTCCTGAACGGCCGGTTTGATCAATGCCATATACCTTTCAGTATCGCGCGCAAGCTATGCTCACGTAGATCTGAGTGCCCTTCCATGGATCGGACTATGGAAGACTGGATCAAGGCCCTTGACGCGCTGGAAAATCTATTTGCTCTGTTCGAACTTCTGCTTTTCCTTATGCAATGTCTTTTGGAGATGGCGAACTCAGGGACGGAACGCTTCAGCTTGGGAGGGACGTCGAAGACGTGGCATATGTTCGGAGAAGGGATATTGGCCTGATATGGACTGTCGACAGCAGTGCTTTCCGACAAGAGGCAACCCATTCTGGCTCGAGAAACCGATCAGCTTTTGCGCGGAGTCGCGGCCTCATCGACTTAACCCAAGGGACCTCTTGCGTGAATAACGATCGGCTGGGCTGGATTATTATCGCAATCCTGGATCTGTGACAAGGCAACAGCGAAAAAGAGACGTTGTGCAGAAGAATGCAGAGGATGAAGAGGAAGAAGTGCAAATCAGAAAGGGCCAAAGTAGTGAAGCGAAGGAAAGTTTGCGTCGGTGGTTTTCACGCGAAGTTGAGCAACCCAAAAGAACTTCCGCTGCGGGTCTCTTGGTCCGTGAGCACTACCTACAGAGTTTCACGAAGCACCTGATGCACTCGATATGTCCAAGGTATCGCGACGGTGCAGAGCGCAGGTGTTTGGTCACGCTGCCTCTCCTCAACCGCAACCTCCTGCCAGCTATGGCTGTACCTCATCAGCCATGAAAGCTCCTTTGCTTGCACGTACGCCAATCTGATAGCACTCCCGAAACCACAGCTCGTGTCAGCTTGAGTCAACCCCAATTTCACTACTCCAGCACGCGCTTTTCCCAAGTCACCCGCTTCTTGCGCTCCCTGACCATCAAGTCGATCCACTGCTGGGCAACTCTGAATGCCGTAGCTTGACGTCCGAAGAGGCATATGTACTGCAATCCCTCGAGGATGGTAGTAAGGGATCTGTCAGACCCTACCTTGTGCATCTCCATCTCTCGCGCCAGTGCACTGTGTTCCTCGATTTTCTTGTCCGTGATCGAGTTAATCTGACTGCTCCAGATTGGTAAAGCCTCGCTGCGCATGCTTCTGCATACCCCAAGAATGGCTGGAGTCTGTAGGTTGCTGGGATCCGTTTCAATCGTGACAGAGGTAAGGGCGTATTCGTAGATGTTGAAGCGCAACTCGACCGGGATCTTGAAGAAATGACACTCCCCTTCGTCGAAGGTGCTGCTTGGTTGCGGCGGCGAATCCGCGCTCGGAGTCATGATGACTGGGGATGTCAGCAGTGGTGCGCAAGCATTCCGGCTTCAACTTACCTTCGTGGGTGTGCAGTGGGTGTTGTTCATGCACAATCGAGGTATTGCAGTTGCATAGGTACGTCAGATTTCAAAGTTGAAGATTCAGTTCTGTGAGAGAAGAAGCGGAAAGCGCGCATGTGGCATCTGAAAGTGGAAGTCGCGAATCTCTCTACACCAAGGGACTAGTGGCTTGGCACTTCACATGCAAACATGTGCTCTTTGCCCTAATACAATGAGCGAATAGCCTTTCGACTTGAGCTCCTCCGGGATATTCCACTATCAAGCTCGATTGGTTCTAAAGGCCTGCCCATACTCAAAAGATTCCCCTCGCCGCCATCGACTCCCTCAACTAAGATTGGTCCTGATTTTCTCGCCTCTGCATAAATAGCGCGGAGATCTCGTCAGCGACATTCAGATAAGCCGAAGCTTGTCCCATCTTCACTTTTCGAACAATGTACACCACTGAAGAGAACGGCTCTGGCTTCAAAGCCTTGCGTACCATGCGCAAGGCTTTGCCTTCGTTTCAAAGCTTGCCACCGTTGGTAGACCACTCCTGAGCCAAGTTTTTAAGGTTTTGTATAAAGCGCCGAAGTCTTCGTCGCCAGTGCGTCTGCTTGCTTGCAAGATTGCGGGCTGCTCTACGGCTCGTCCATCGGCACCAACGCCAATACTGTCGAAGATGGGTTCGCTGATTTCCAGGCGGATCTCTGCCAGAGCTTGTAGAAGAGGCAGTCGTCCTGTTCTGGAGCCGACTGAAGTCTCTGCGCCGCGCTGAAGAGCAGTTCGAGCTCCTCTAGTGAACCTGAGACTTTCCGTCAGCGACGAGGCGGCGTGTGTACAAGCGTTTATACTTACGTCCAAGTTGCTTCATGTTCGAGGCCCGCCAACGGGCAACGCGGTGCAATCTGATGATTGCTTTTGCGTGTGAAGCAAGAGGAGAAAAACGAATGCGCAAAGTGTTCTAAAATGGGCTCTGCGCAGCCCAAAGCTCTAATATTTCGTGGCTTGGCGTTTCACGTGCAAACGCTTTGATTGCTGCCAGGTATCGTTTTCCCAGAAGTAGAAATTCAAAAGAGATATGCGCGTTGTATAGGTATCTCGATGCAGCAATGTTTGCCACCTTCCTTATGTGTGTGGCTCCACGCAGTGTTGACCATTCCTAGTCACACGGGATCTCCTTTCCTGCGAATATCAGCGCATCAAAGCTCGTTGCCCCTCACACTACTTTGTCGAAAGTTGGAAGAAAACGAGTCATCCACTTATTTCTGCCATCGCCGCGAAGCCCATCCCATAGAATCCTCCCTCACGCTTCTTAACATCCTATGCATCATGATCTTCAGTTTCTGCACTCTTCAGTTGCTGCACGTATGTACGTGCCATCTCCTCTGCCAGCCACGCATTCTTCTCAATCAGCCGCACAAGAAACTGCGTCATCCATGCCTCATGCTTCTTACATTCCTCGGTGACCAGGTTCATCAATGCTGTAGTGGAGTTGACCTCGTGTATGACATTCCGACACTGAAGCTCCACAGTCTTCGCAATCACCGCGCGGAAGGGATCCTCCGAGTCGCAGCTGTTGAAAATAACCTCCCAGGCCTCCCACATGCGATCTGCTCGAGCGGCTTTGGCTGCTTGTTCTGCTGCAACCTTGTCAAGATGTACGATATAGGCATTGAAAGCTTCACTGCGTATGCGCACACTTGTTTGTAAGATTGCTGGCTGGTCGCTGTGCTTGAAGTTGGGGTCGACGGGGAGAGAAGCAAAGTAGAACTCGTAGATCAGGAGCCGTATCTCAGTGGGGGCTTCGAAGATGTAGCACCTCTTCGCCGCAAAAGCTCTGCGGCACCTCTGTATCAGAGCTGAAGTGAGTCTCGAGGCCAGCTGGCCCATCGCAACTGGTAGGAATCGTAAGCAACTTCAGAGGTATTTAGCGTCTCCCACTTACCTGACAGCCAATTTCGTGCTCGAGTGTGATGGTTGATCGCGCTCTGATGTTTTTGATGTGAAGAGATACAGTAAACTTTCCTTGGCCAAGTTGGAAGGTGGGCGACTAAGTTTGGTTCAGGAAGTCACAAGGGACCTCCCTCGCTAGCATACTAGTGGCTTGGCAGCGTTCACGTGCGAGCCGACTTGCAGATCTCTCCTGCGTTGGGCCACCTGAGTGCTTGAACCCTTGTCCCAACCTTGCTATCGTGGTCTAAATTCGTGTCGTTATTGCCAAAGCGTCTCTGTATCATGTGGCCTTCCGCCAGCAGCCTCTCCTCCTCTCGCTCAACGCGTCGCACCTCGAGATACTTCTTCATCAGACTGCGTATGATATGTTTGTTGTTAAATCTGACACCAGAGGTCTTGGAGTTAAACTTCTATTCGGTGTTCCTCACGGCTTCCGCTTTCTCGTCGCGTAGTCTGGTCAAATTCCTGTTTTCACAAGGCATGCCTTCTTCACGGATGACGGGGCACACGCGAAAAACGGGTGTCGTTCCACTAAGCAGCCCGCGACATTCAACGAGAGATCGAACCCAAAGGTATAAAACTTTTAATTTCCGTTGGTGTGTCTCTTCTTGATTTCCGGCTCGGAAGTTGAGAAGATCCCGTCGTAGATCACGAGGCGCACCTCTGGTGGTAGACTGGAAAACCCCGTTTTGGTCTCGTCGGAGTGAGCTTGACATGATGGTACCCTGATAACGTCTGCGTGATCCATGGCAGTTCGAGCAGTACTTGATGTGGAGAGGGTCGATTTCACTTCGGCGCTGGGCAGCTGGCTGATCTCACATGACGAGTTTCTTGGATCTTGATGTAGTCTAGAGATTTCGACTTCTTATCTTTCACAGATAAATCGTATCGGACTGTGAATTTCATTAGCCATTGCGGTCCGGCTGGTGACGAACGGGACAAGTGCAGCGCCAAGAGATACGCCGAATGCGAATACGACCAGTGAGCGTGAACTAGAAGCCTATTTCTGCAGAGCCATCACGGAATGTTTGGAGACCTACCTCCTGAGGTCTCAGGATATCGTCTTCTGGTACGCCGATCAAAAAGAGGGCCCTCCACCAAACGCCACCTCTCAGATTGTAAAGTCCTTCTCCCGTGGACCATTTCGCGATGGATAGTACTTGAAACCTTACGAAGTCCAGAGTGAGCTTTCTGGTTCACGCTTAGCAGCTCCGATGCTGGCAGAATAGGCGCTCTTGCAAGATGTTCGTTGTCTTCGAGCTGTCCATTAAAGAAGTCTTCTTCGAAAAGGTTATACAAATAGGTCGTCTTTCTTCTGCTTTCCGACCAACTCCGCTGTTGTTCTTGGAGTTGGAGCCAAGAATGAGCATCTTGGAGTCTCGTCAGCCTCGTGACGTAAAGAAGTAGCGGCCAATCAGTGCTTCGGCTGCTTCTTCACGAGAGCAGCTGGAAATTGAAAGACGCTGCGTCTTCGCGTCATTTGGCTGGAGGATCGGTGCGTGGGTATAGCAGCAGTGCCAAAGCGGGTATCACATTCTCCTGTTTCTTCAAGCCCCTCATCTGCTCTGCTCATTTTCGTGGTACACTCTCTTCTTCTTCACCTCCTCTACGCCGCCATCCCCATCTGCGTATAATGTCTCAAACTTCTTCACCAACTCCTCCAAATCCTCTTCTCCGTTCCGGCGAAACCTCGTCACCTTTTGCACGTTGTGCGCCGTCATATCGTTCAACTCGAAATCTTCAGAACTCCCAGCCTTATGTCTCATATGCGCAATAGTCTTTGCTGTCAATGCCATCCTCATATCTTTCGGTCCGTCCACCAATTCCAGGATGGCAGAAGGTGCTTGATCTTCCTTCTCAGGTTCAATGCGTAGAACACGAGTGTATCCGCCCGGTCTGTTGGCATATCGTAATCGGAGTTCTTCAAAGACTTTCGGAATGTACCTCTGCGGTTGCTGTTTCCAACGCCTGTCAATGCATGCCCTGCGCGAATGTGTTACCACGTCCTCCGGCCCGACTTACGAAGAATACCTTGGTCGCCTGGATTCTGCTCGCTGTTGTGTTTTTCTTTCCCAAGGTGATCAATTTTTCCGCTAGCCGCTGTGCTTCCTTCGCTTTAGGCCATGTGGTCGAGATTGATTCGTGTTCGATGAGAGATTGGACCAAGTTCCGCAGCAGGGCTTTGCGGTGCGCGGAATGCCGCGAAAGGTGACGATATTTGACGAGACCACCAGCCATGACGAGACTTGGCGAGTATTCGTACGGAAAGTGAAGATGGATGTTGGAGTCTGAGGTGGTGGAGGGAACATCGAAGGGCGGAGGTTCAATGCCGTCTCGGTCTTGGCATCCCCGTCGAGCTCCGCAAACGTCACTCTATGCATGCTCTCCAACATACCTAGACACGACCGACCTTCTCTTCGCCAGGAGTCATGGGTTTCACGACTGGCCTCGTAAGTCTTCATCCGAACAGAAAAACAAATGTGTCGACACTGACCAACTCGCTCGCAGCTTGGAGGCTTCACCCTAACCGCCTCAGTCATCTACCTCTCAATGCGCCTACATACACAAAACAGAGTCTACCAATCTTCACTACTCCACCAACAAGCAATCGTACTAGACAACATCATCGCTCCTAGACCGCCACAGCCTCCGCCCACATCGAGAGAAGTTCAAGCTGGACTTTGGGAGACAGCGAAGGACAAGTGGAATGCCGAATTAGAGAGTAACGTGAAGAAACTACAGACCACCGACTGGGCAGGTATGTTATCAAGAGCTGAAGATATTGCGGGATTTCAACAGATTGTGCTGACAGATCATGCACAGCCGTCCGGGAAAGATTAGAAGAGAACGTGAGCACGCTCTACCAGAAAGCATTCAAGAGTGGACGAGAAGGCGTCGAATTTGGCGTCGAAAAGACAAAAGAGGGCATCGATACTGGTATCAGAAACGCGAGCGACCGTGTGCAAGCTGAAGCGGAAAAGGCGAGAGCAGCGACCAGATAATGCGACCAGGAGACAGACCGCCAGGAGCGACGCGTGTGGAGGCTTCGGTGGGAAAGACTGCATTCGGAGGATAGTAAGATACCCATTACAAGAGAACATTAGCACAGTGCCACGTCTCTTTGGAGTACGGAGCTGCCGCAATCATGTTGACCGACGAGTAGTCTTGGCATTTGCATGTGAAGCACATTTCTTGCCTAGGGCACCAATTGGCTTGCTGGCGAATTCAGAGCCAGAGAGTCCCTTCATTCTAAGCTCAAGACCAGCATGCCGAATTGAGAGCCAGAGAGCCCTGTTCATCTCAAGCTCCTGATTGTCCAACGTTTCACAAGACCAATCCAAACTGATCGCTGACCAGTCACGGAAGGCCGATATCGGCTCTACTCACTGCATACAATTACCACAGGGCGTGTGGCTTGACAACATATCCATAGGGCGTACGTACACCAACTACAAGCATCACTCACCCCAAATACAAAGCCTACATGTAGTCAGCAGGGCTAGCATTAATAATGCCCATCCGGTGCTGACAGTTCCCGCAGGGGTCGTATATAGGCTCGGTAGAATGCCTCAGCACTCGCGGATCTATCTTCAAGACATCAAGTCAGTAGAGCATTCTTCTTCAACTCCATACCATTTGCAAAGTCACAATCACCGTCAAAACTCTCCACCACAACAACAACTGCCAGCCGCTCTTTTCAGACTCCTCACGCCACATTCACATCGCCACTTGAAGAAGCCCAGCCTCGTTCGCTCTCCAAATCTCTCCAACCCCGAGGAAGAAGAGAGCCAAACAGAAAAACGCAAAATCAAAAAATGACTCAACCAAGTCCCACCACATCAACATCCAAGACCCCCGAACAAGAAGAAGCAGCGCACTTCCAACGCCTCAAACAAGACTGGGAAATGCTGGGATCCGAAGAACTCGTCCAGAGTCCCGATACGGCGGCAACGACAAGATTGCAAAAGGCCAAAGCCAAAGTCAGGTCTTGCGGTGCCGCGTATCGGAAATTTCAGGAGGTCGTGGTTGCGATTGCGGGTTGATGATGATGATGATGATGATGAAAAGAAACATATGGGAATCATGGTTGGGGGCGTCTGCGGCGTCTGGGGATCTTCTGGTGTTTGTTCTTTTGGGAGTGGGATGGGATGGGGAGGGAAGGGAAAGGAATTGGGATTGGAATTGAAATGGAATCATGAGAAGACGAGGATTGGGACTTGTGACTTTTGAATTCTTGCGTAGCGAGAGTAATGCGTTTCGCAGGAGATATTACTAGTGATGGAAGAGGGCTTGGATAGAATCACTTAAAAAACATAGCCTAATACCATGAATCCTAACAAGATCCCAAGAGCTAAATATCCCTACTTCATAAACACATGCTCCAAAAACTAAACTTCCACCCTCCTCGTATATAACCCCTAAGCCTTGTCCTCTTCACTCGTACCTCCCATCCCCCCCCACCCCGACTCTCTCTCTCTCTCTCTCAACCTCAAATCTCTCCCTCTTCATCCCCGCCATCAACTCCCTAACAGCTTCCCTCCGCCTCCTATAAACCTCACACGCAGCATCCAACTCCCTAGCCGCCCGACAAGCCGCTCCAGCATCGGCGCACCAGAGCCCGCACACCGTGCATTTGCCGATTCCATTTCGCTCTACTCAGGGCCATGAGATGGTGCAGATAGGGGAAGACCCGCACAGCCTTTCCTTTGCAGATTCCATTTCGCTCTGCAGAGCGATGAGGTGGTGCAGATAGGGGGGAGAGTGCTTCTTGGCGGATGAGCTGGCAGGTCGAGAGGATGGGTGGTGGGGGAGACGGGGCTGGCGGGGAGAAGAGAGGAAGTCGTAGATCGAGAGTCGAAGTTCCGGGGGGGAGGGCAAGCAGGTTTTGGATATGGTTGTTGTTGTTGTCGTCGTGGTGATTTCGATCTCCCGCCTGAAAGTGTGTCGAAGGGGTAGATGGTGGTCGTAGTGCCGCCTTGCATGATGATTCATCTCATCTCATTGGAAAAGATAAAAACGCCAGAAATCCAATCCCGACAGGGCCGTGTTTCTCCACGCTTCATGTGGAGAGATATAACTTATACAGTAGGACAAAAGAGACGTCAAAAGATCGCCGACAAGTTGGCCGTGCGATAATATCAACCAACGAACGAATCACAAGCAACGACTGTGGCTGATGCGTGTAGTCTTGCCACGGCCATCTAGATTCCTCCTTTTTTTAAAAAAAAAACCCCCCCCGTGGCAAGCGAAGAGCCGCATTAACAACAAAAAAACGACCAGAAAAAGTCAGTCAGCGGCGCCATACCTCCCAGTCGCAAAAGAATCCTAGCTAGAATCAGATGTACACCAAAGCAGCCTATCTACCACGCAGCCAGAAAGAAAAACGTCGTGTACCAACAACCGTCGGCAACGTCTCGCAAGAATCAGTACAAACCGACGGACGGCGAAAGCGTTCATCATCAGGCATAGATAGGGTGGCAATCCCAAGCAGAAAATGTCTCATCAGGAATAAGAATAATAATAACACCGAACCAAGAAACCAAGAACAAGTGCGCTCCCCGGGAAGGGAAGGCACCTCAGATAGATAGAGTTTTCCCCCGAGTTTGGGTCGGTCGGACACATCTAGATCTGACCCGGGTCGGCTCTATAAATGAATGTAAAGCTGGAACAAGCGCCGGAGGGACTGCGGATTTTCTCGAATTTTTCGTAACGCTTTCGTGCTGTATAATTTTGGTCCTCTGCTCAGTGCTGGTGAGAAGACTAAAAATCGGTACGACCGACGCACGTGCACCGACTAAGACTTAGTCTAACGCACGGACTGTTGGTGAATGGTTTGCCAAGACCATTCGTCGTCGAATCGCCGCTCTTTTGCGGAAAAAACCAACACGCGACCATTCGCATGCCGCTAATAATAATGTCTGTCTGTCTGTCTGTCTGTTGGAAGATCGCATCATCGATGAAGTGTAGTAAGATGGAAGCCCTGATAAAGCGCCTGGATTCTCTGCCCCAGCTGGAGAAGATCTTAAGATGTGGTAGAGCGATCGGTTTTGCCGTCGTTAGGACCGATATAGACACTTCTCCGATCCCATAAAAGACTGACGTGCGTTGGATTAGCAACACTAGTCCAATCCTGTCGTGAATGAGATGAAACTTGTTACCTTTTTTGGAGACGTAACGGAGGATCTTGACAGCCGCTAATCCTTAGTTAGTGCTCGCTGCGTGCGAAGTACGTAAGACCGCTTGTTGTGATGTCCCGCTCTGGAATTGAAGCGATGTGGTAATGAGAAATTGGAACCGAGAGATTGTTCCTCCTGATTCTTGTCCGTGCTGCTTCGGCAATTCTAGCAAAGCAGGTAGGTCCAGCGAAATCTCTTTCGCGCGCTTTGCAGGTGCAAGACGCGGGAACGAGATGCGATGCTTCGTCGACTCCGAACAGCGTATTAGTTGTCACAATACGGAGGCACTGAGCAGATCCAGGTAGCCTCCAGCCGAATGTTGTGCACTCGATACGCTCTGTGTCGAGCTTTACAACTGCAGCCTCATTTTCATGTCAGAACTGCTACGGCAGTCGCACAGATGTCTTAGCTAACGCCTGCGTATGGCCCGGAGGGAGACCAGACCGCTTGTTCACCATTGTACATAGTTCCAAGAAGTATCATGACTCCTGGTTGCAAATGATTCCCTCTCGTGCATAGAAGCAGATCAGGATGTGGAAGTCATGCGGCGACATCTGACCTTCCGTCGAGCTGTAAAGGACAGGCCAAAGATGGCTATACAGGTGGTCCAGTTGCTGCTTCACAGCACGTTTGCTAGCGACCTGGGAAATTCGAATGCCTGTTCGTCTGGTAAGCCACAATATTCGCTGATCGAAAATCTCGATACCCCTCGACAGAATCGCTAGCAAGCTAGAAAAATAGGTCGTTCGTATTGCCCATGCTACCACCACTGCTCTGCATGGCCAGCCAGCCAGCGTACAAGGGGCACGTCGCGGAGGCCGCATCCGCCTGCTGTGCGTCGGTGTACCGATATGCTGTCGAGCCGAGTGCGGAATGTCCTTGGAGGATCCTCGCTTGCGGATTCTTGAGCCGCAGCATTGATTATGCAAGCGTAACCAATGGTAAGCTGTGGTGCAGGATGCCATCTCGATGGGAGGCATCATCATCAATCATCATCATCATCTCACGTACGACCGGCAGCAACTTTTCAGCTGAAAAGATAGCGTGAGGAGGAGCTGTTCTTAGGTTTCTGGCAAGCCAGGAGCAGTGCTGTTTATTAACGCTGATCGAAGCTGATTGGGCAATCCCGAGGCCGAAATGCTCTACACCAACAACGAGCGCAGCTGCATCGTTCACCTAGGCTGAGCAAAGGGCGATCTCCGAGTCGTGATTGGCGCGGTCGTGGCCGCACGCATGGCAGCTGATCTGCCAAGAAGCTCACCGGGAGCGGACATCCGGTGGAGAGCTGCTGCACACTGGATACATGTAGCAGTCCGCGGTCGGGCAGGTGTGTGTGGAGGGACGGCGACAACCTAACCTACTGTACGAATCAACAGCATCCCAAATTGCTCCACCGCTCTGCAGACGACCCTAAGGTAACTAATAATAATACTGCAATCGCAAAAGGAGCAACAAGCTCGAGCGGTAGCGAGGCCCAATTTCACCTTCCTATCGGGGAATCGCGCGCTGAGCGTGGGAGACGAATCTTGTGTCCCCCTCGTTGCGCATGCTTGTTGCTAGTGAACCGGGGCTTCGACAGCTAAGTGTCGCCCAACGCTCTCCAGCGTCTTTGGCTGCTCGATTCCGAGTCAGGCGTGGACTTTTCGTAAAGGGAGAACTCCCGCCCATCAGGATGTTCTGTCCCTTTGCCAAGCCAGTCGGATTTCACGGCGACAGTAGGCAAGTGACATGATCAAGAAACGACAAACGCTATCTTTGTCCATCCCGTAGAAGATACGAAGACGACTCGTAGACTCGTGAGCACATTATTTTCATCAGCACCGATGTGAGATGAGAGCCAACAAGTCACCGCCGTTCGTTGTTGGAAGGAGATGTTCGGAGTTGTTCCTCAGAAAGCTGCCGGGCCGGGTTTGGCCCGAAGGGAGCCCTAACAGCGGTCGCATCTGTGTGAAGGCGGTAAGCTATTATGGCGATGATGAGAAGATGGCGTGGTTTCGCGCTGGGCGCCAATCGCAGCACTCGTTGGACACATCGCGCTCCGGGGGTTCAGACGGACGGCGCCAACAAACACGTGCAAGAAAATGCCCGCGCTGTGGTATCGCAGCTGCGAACCATCGGAAGGCAGCAGCAGCGTCGGAAGGCCGCGTCGGAAGGCAGCGTCGGCAGGCCAGGCAGGCAGGCAGGCAGGCAAGAAGGACGGCGGAGAAGTGAGGCGAGGGAGCTCTCACGACGAGCGTGACAGACAGGAGCTTCCCATGCTCTGTCCTGAAGCGTGAAGCACAACATGTATACTCACTCAGGTAGATGACGGGAGCGACAGAGTGAGATGATCTGGACCCTCACACGCATCCACGCTATCGCAAACCCCCAACGTTTGCGCTTGAACAGTGCTTGGACTGTGGTAGCATGGTGTACACGTGGCGACAGGGAAGGGATGGGACGACATCTCCCCTCGGCGCGAGTCAGGCGTGTCTCGAGACTCGAGAGGCTGTTGTCTGTGTTGGGCGTGAGGAGAGCACGCAAGATGATGGCATCTCGGCCGGGGGCGTCCGTCGGGAATCCACATCTCAGAAGGGAATAGTGGAGCGGCGAATCGCCTGGCCTCCCTACGGTAGCTGTGGTAGCTACCACACTACCTAGTCGCAGAGTAGTGGCACGGCTGGCACGGCTGGCACGTGGCTCTGCACGCCACCGAGCGCTAGACAAGAAACCAGAAGACTTGGCATTCATCAATGCCTGCCACCTGCGTAGACCCGCCACGAGCCAGACCAGACCGTAGCAGGGTCAGGACGCAGGCGGACTGTCTCCGCGTACAGTAGCTACGTCTTCGATCAGCGAGCCTGTACGTCTGCTGCGAAGACTCCCGCCCATCTCGACAGTAGTCACAGGTGAGAACATGATGCGACATTCGCAATCCGAGGGGGAGCTGTTCGAAGATGGCTGAACTCCTGCCGCGTTTCACTATTCTTGGTCATGGGTGCCATCTTACACCGCAACCGGCCAACCAACGTGTACCACGGAAACGACGACAGATTGCGGATCAATTCTCCGAACACGTCCCCAGCATTCTGGACTGGTGTCGCCGTCTGTGAGAGTCAAGCCGGATTTCCTCGCCCCTCGAGCCATGCTGTGCTCGACTGGACCGAGATATCCACGGCCTCGAAGCGTTTGACTGCGCTTGGAGTAGCGTTGCACAGCGTGCTGGACGCGGAGCACCGCAGCTTAATTTCATACACGAGGCAAGTAGGGATGTTGCTAGGCGCGTGCGCATGCGCCTTCTACCGGCGCGTCATCTGGCCGCAAGGCCTATCAGAGCGTGAGGCTGGCGGGTGAGACTTCGCCGGGTGCTCCACGGCCATGCACCGCGCAGCAGAACCAGGAGTGGAAGCATGCAAGCGTGCAAAGAAGTGCGGCTTCTGCTCCGCGACGGCAGTTAGAGCAGTAGAATAAGCCCATCGAAAAGAAGACTCCGAGACGCGGCGCTACAGGCGGGCGACTGCAGCATCCTCACGTGTCTATCAGCACAGCGACAAGGGATTGGTAACGAGGACGCGGTTCTCACGAGTGTATGCAGAGGTGATGGGTGTGTACGTT